ATTTTCAGACAGTTGATATTCTGTTCAATAAAACATTAGATTATGTACTGGAGTAAAAAGCAGGTTTGTGCAGTGAGAAGTACTCTATCTATCACATAAAGTAAACTGAATATTGATTATAGCCCAGCAATTCTATAGAAACTTATACCAATAGTCTACTAGTACCGTTTTTAACCTCCTATACAACTCAGACGTGCATTCATATATAACTATTGGTAGTCGATTGTAACTAGTTCTTTCTCTAGAAAAATCATGTACCAAGACAAAGGGTGTTTGTGCACAACAATCATTTTCTTGTGTCAGACTAATTTTATGAGCATAGATTCTAAGTTCCCCCTAAATAATTCCTAGCTCTCATGTTTATCAGACAGGCAAATTTACCTTTTGAAATATAAATAATGATACAATAAAGACCCTGCTTATAAAATACCCAATTTGTTAAGGGTAAAGGATGTCCACCAAGTTGAATAGTATTTCTACTAGTGAAACTATAATATGATCAGATTTTTCTGGAATGACTAATACAGAGAGGAAAAGACTATTTAGCATGTCCTTCATATTTTTTGTAGAATAAGCTTCTCGGTGCATGCATTCTTGGCACCCACTAAAGGGTCTGTACCCACTTCATCTTCAGCTTCAATTTTGTTCCTCAGAATTCAAATCTAACCCATATACCATAACCTTGCATTGAACTTTATTCCAGACATTAGTATTGAAGTAACATGCAAGATATTGATTTACTTTTACTAGTTATATTTATACACTTTCTATATCTTTGCCCTACTTAATGATCCATATCTGAAATTTGAATCCTTTCCATTTGAAGAAAGTGAGAAACCGACGTGGTTTTAGCACCTCAAAAAGTGGCAATGCCCTTTACTGGATTCTAAATTGGACTTAATTCCATTTTAAAAATCATTCTTAATCCTCTTTTGGAATCAATTTATCTTGGAATCTGACCTATTTTAGACATAAATCTTTTGGGCTAAAAGGGATTGTTAAGAGGTTTTCTAAATTTTTTATGTGTATCGGACACATTGATTACACATCAATTAGCACCATTCCAACTTTCAATCAGACTTCTGTGGTGCCTACAATTTCATTAAACTAAGTCTTTGGTGATGTCATTAATCATGAATAGCCTTATGTGATAAAACATATTTATTTTGCAAATAGTGACGAATTGCATGAACCACAGACTTCTGACTTAAAATTGGAATGGTGCAAATTGATTCTATCAGTGTAACCAATACACATGAAAAATTTAGAAAACCTTGGAAGTCTGTAGTTATGTTGAATAAAAGAAAATAGAGCAGGATTTCTGACATTATATGAGACTAGTTCATTGCTTTAAAATTTGCAATTTCTTTCTAAGTTTAAAATAAAAGCCAAAATCACATAGACATTCAGGAATTCCAAACAGCCAAAATCACCCAGATATCCAGGAATTCCTGACAGCCAATATCACCCAGACATCTAGGAATTCCCAACAGCGAAATCACCCAGACATCTAGGAATTCCCAACAGCGAAATCACCCAGATATCTAGAAATTCAACAGCCAAAACCACTACGAAATCTAGGAAATGACTTATCAATCACTGGTTTTATGTTTCTTTATTTCAGAACAAAAGCTGCACGATAAGTTTTAATTTTCAACTACACAATGTGATAAAACATCATTTAAATGTCATGTATGATTTTATGACGATCAAAAGTACATCACGAAAAAGACAATTGTGCCTAATCCAACATATAAATTTAACCATTAAAATTCAATTACACTATACTATACTGCAAAATATTGATATATATGATGCTCACTCTTTCAGAACACCTAATACCACTTGGTTTTAAACTTAACACTTTGGAGAGTCAACAATTGTTAATTTGGCAATAACCTATAACTATTCATGTGTCATAGGAAGACATTATATTTTGACAGAGAGCAATACAATATAGCTTATATATCAATTATCTAATGGACAGGAATACAAAAATCACACAATGTAGCATAATGTTATAAATAGTATCAATTAATAGTCCCTATATACCTCAGTTAGTGAGCAAAAGATAATTATGTGTAGAATCATCTATGTTTCAATTTACAAAAAGATCAGTAGTTTTAGACAAATTTTAATTTCATAGAAAAAAATTAAATCTAAGGAGAAAAACTTCAAAATAAATTTGGTAAAAAGAGATCAATAGTAATCAAAATGTCCCTTTCCCAAAAATTGTCTGCAAACCTCCAATAATTGGAAAAAGATAAATGAAAAAGTAAAAAGGAGATAATACTCTGGGTCACAAACCTTGTGAAAGGATAAAATAAATAATTAAATAACAAAATCATTCAATTCATACATTAGTAATTTGATATTGTAATAGCCACAGTTGATGAAAGCTGAATATCATATTATTATGAATGGTAGTGGTAGAAGAATTGTCTGCATTTATAAGTAGGTTATTGTACCATAGTAGCTGTACAGTAAATTAGAACACAGCATCCTACAGTTCCACATTCTTAGCAGACATTTTGACCTCAAAACCCATATCCAAAAAACATAGGTTTTATTAGTCAAAAGTTCATTTGCAGACGATTTATGACTTCAAGTAATCAATGAGACATACTATAATGGACAGACATTGGTCTTGGGGTCATTTAAGGTGAAATAGAAGAGTATAAGTCCATTACATAATGAAGATACTTATTATGCAATAGTTGATAACAGAAGAAAATATGTCTGCGCTATGAGCAGGTCAACATGCCCTGTCTGCGTGCAGTTTTCATTCACTTATACCACGCGAAAGAAATATAGTCTTATAATACTAAATATTGCAATAAAATCTAAGTAAATGGATAAAATATAAACTCAATTGACCAGAAATCGTAAATATTACGTAATATTTGATGACACAATCAAATTATTTTGCAAATGGCTGCACTAAAGTTACAAATGTAAACAAAGACATTCGCTTTGTTCTTATGCCGACTTGACAGTTGCCGAAAGATACCATGACGGGTAAAGGGGTGAATAACATCGCTTTATATAGAATGACAGTCAGAGATAAGTAATAAATCCAAAGTAGAATGAGGAAAGAAGCCAATAATGATACATATATATAAGTATAATAATTACCTGACTCGGAAAGTTTCAGTGTACCATCTTGTCAGTTATCTCAAACATATATGATTTGACGCATGCACTTCTGCAAAAGATGGCGGGTTTTTAAAGGGGAGTAATTATTATTTATTTATCATGCACACAGACAGCGAATCACAACTCTATATGCAAAACAAATGTCATTATACACTAAAATATATATTCCACCCATAAACGTTGGAATTGTATGGAAATGAGATATATATACTCCAAACTTACCTCTTATGTAGTTCTATGAGTCGGTGCAGGAGAAATTTCCCCTCCCTCACAGAAATGGGTAAAATTTGATATGGCATAAGAAATGCTGATAGTCAAAGAAATTATGTAATATACGCATGTTAAACGCCCACGGTTTAAATGTATTGTCTACTGATGGAAACTATGGTATATACCATGCTGTTCCATCTATATAGCCTACATTATTGAACTTAAAACTTGTTAAGCGCAAATCTTTGCTTCATAACTATAGAATGCTTACTTTGAAGAAACACCACGAGTTTTCTGCTAAAAAAATGTTACAAGAAAGACTTATATTTAAAGGTCATATTAGCTACATTGCATTTATATTCTCCAATAACTTTCTAAGAAGCGTTTACTTAAAAGAGTGTGTAACAAAGTCCCAAATTGTATGTACGCAATATTGCCAATAAGATACAGATTATAAAATATAGACCCGTTGCTGATTTAGAATTAGTGCATATAGGGTAACTACTATTTATGATTTAGATCTCAACCCAACGATCTTCAAAAACACAATCCAGGAGGCAATCTGGAGACAATCTAGCATAGATGGAGGCAATGCCTTCAGATTTTGCACCCCCGTACCCCTTTCACAGAAAAGAATTAGGGCTACGACTGGGGCTGGGGTGCAGGAGGGCTGCTGTATAACACAAAAACTAAAAAAAAATAACATATTATAGGAAAAACCCGACATCATCTTTACCTACAGCATGCTGCAATCTCTAGGGTCCGTCATCGTGAAATATCGCAGGAATATAATAATGTAAAACGGTGCCACCATCTTAACAAATTTCTCCATTGTCTGGATACTTTCCGATGAAAAATTGGTTGTTTCTGACTAAGGAAATCTGTAGAGCATTTTGGAGATGATTATGGGTCAATATTTACAATTACGTATGTGACAATGCCAAATAAATTGAGATGATCTAGTACCCCAAAGAGAAACCAATGAAAGCTACAACGGATAGGCTCAACCGAGAAGTCCTTTAGATAATTATCAAATATAGCCTATATAGTAATCATCTGTTGATTTAAATATTTCTCCGTCGATTTTACCAATAATTCTTGTTTTGATGGAGCTCAAGCACCTTCTCATTGCTCGGCGTTATTCACATCTATAAGCCAAGATGTAGAAGCCAACTTGCACCCTTGTTGGTCAATGTTTGTTTTTTTTACTTTTAGAGCTTTTGAAGCAAGAACACAATCATAATCCAAAAGAAGCACTGATATCCCTGATTTTTGTTCTCTCACAAAATCAGTGAATTTTGTCTAGTCAGATACGAGAGATTCCGAACAGACCGTGACAAGAAATTGCACATGTGCATTATCATAAAAATGTGTGCCAATTCAGATGACAAACGCGTTTTTGTCGTGGTTTAGGCCTATCCGAATCACAGGTGCCGTTTTTGCATCTTATGGAACTTTCCTGAATGGTATGAACCTTCTTTAAAAATTATGAATCCACCAATACGGACCTCTATAGGCTTTAGTTAAACGGGGTCCAGAGTATGAATTACTTCCCATTAAAATACTCTTCAGTCGTGTCGTTGCGGAGGTAATATTTATCCTCTACTTTCAGTTTGTTGTGAAATATTATTATTAGAATTTTTATGTCTGGGAGAAAATGTAGATTTACTGAAGTTCAAATGCTCTTCCGGATAGGATTCATAAATAATTTATTCATTTAATCGTCTTGGACACGAACCATCTTTTAAAAGGTAGTTATATCATCTTTAAAAAGGTTGTTATATCGTGTTTTTTAGTAGTTATTAAAATATCCACTGTCAAATAACTTAAGAAGGACAGAGACTGACCATCAAAGTCTTAAGGAAGAATATTATTAGCATTGTTTATTAATTAATCACATACTAAAATTCTTTTTTCAGATTTTAGGTACAGAAATAAGCATAAATGGCAGAAAATTTCAGTTTTGAAAGGTCAGTTATTAAAGATGGAAGGTTACTATGTAGAATAAATTCTGAGACTACCACAGCAAACCAGACAGGAGCTCAGTAGAGAGGGCAGGTCCTTAATACATACAATCAGCTAAATGATAAAGTGCCCTTTTAATATCAGAAAATGTCCTTACAGTGATTTAGATCAGAATAAAGTGATAGCCTAGCCAATCTTATATTTTAAAGCTTGTCAAGTGTCCAGCAAAGAGGAAGTAGAAAGCTTTTGATTGTATCTAATAATTTTATAGGGTAGAAGAGGATAATGTTGATGAAACTTCAGTACAATTGGCTACACAAGCTTTACAGAATCAAGAAAGACTTTTATTACATCTAAAAACAACAAACCAGACTCATACAAACAGTAAGTATTGTTACTGTCATATATTGTTGTATCACAAATTTTGATTAAGAAGGAAGTACTATATGAGCTATTCCATCAGATTGTTGTAAAGTGCCTAATCTAAGCAAGATGAAAAATCAAGGGATTAAAATTGTATATGGAATATTAGTAGCAATTTGGTAGAGGCATGATCTAGGCATTTCCAACAAAAGCCTTTGAAGCTATTATTCTCCTTTATTTTTTCAGTATTTCCTAAAGTTCACACAGCTTTAGATAGTTTGAGAGATATTAAATCAGAAGTGGAAGGAAGTCATCATGATTATGTTCCCACCTCTATTAATGAAGGACCTATTCAAGAATTAAAACAACTGACATTGATGCATGTACCTAGCTCATTAGATGATAAATCAAAACAACAGTTTCAAACACTTATTACAGATCTCATGAAAGGTAGGACAATATTTCTTAAAGGGGTTTAATCCTCTATATATGGTTACCAGTTGCTGCTTTCTTGCTATTATTACTATGTTTTCTCACAGTTATTGACTATAAAGTACTCATTGAGAATTTTCATATCATCACAAAAGTCAGACAGGTAGATTTTCTTGAAAAGGATCATAAAAATAGATGCAGACATCATTTGTGATGGTGTATAATCAACAATATTGCTTTTGTATTTACAACTCTTAAAAGAAACAAAGATATGAATAAAGTCATATACCATGTTATAAATGGTATCCATTACTGTATATTTGTGTTCATAGTGCTCAGTTTTTCACCCTCATAAGGGATGTGCATTATACTTGAAATATAGATCTGCCTTTTTTTTATTATTTCAGACCAATGTATTAAAGTATTAGCAAGTTTATTAGTAACATGTCCATGGTATGAGGCAAGTCAGAAAGAACGTGGTGAAAAGGCTAGACATAATGTATTATTAATTATATATCTATGTTACGATCACCAGGCTATTACACCAGCTAATTTACATAATCAAAAACAAGGAGAAATCATTGATAAGGTAGAGTGTTATGAATGCTTGGGGTAGGGGCAGGGAGTGTTTAGGGCAGTATGGCGATATGTGAATGCCAATCTATGGAGTAGACTAGAAATATTGATATCATACACATAGAGCTAACTGAAATATCTTTCAAACAAAGAATCACTCTCTTGACTTGACTTCACAATATTAACATAAGTTCACAATGAATAAAGTTGTAAAATATCCCTCATTGTGCACTGCATAGGATTTTCCTTCTCCATCAACTAAGTGTAGGACATAGACCACCCCTAATTTTATTTTACAGGGTTGGTGTTGTGTTGTAGAGTTATCTCATCTCAGTAGATTTATAGTCAATGGTAGAACACGGTATATAGAAGCACTATATCATAGTACCGAAACTTGTATTTATCAAAGTCCGGAATGGATAGAATTAAAGGAATTATTGAGATCATATCAAATGATGGGTAGGTCTGATCTTATTGTTGGGTATAGAAAATTTCTTTTCAGAATAACCATTTTTTGATGAATTCTTCTTGGCAACTTTATTTAAATATGAAATAAAAAAATGAAAAAATTGCATTAAAGGAATGGTAATAAGTCAAATTTGATTTTGATTAAAATTTTATTAACAATTTATAAAAAACACTAAACATTATTAAATTTGTATTCATTTGTATTATTCTTTTAAATAAAGTTTCAAAACCTTATTGAGAATTTCAATTTAAAATAGCTTGAGTAACGTTATTCAATGTTGGAGAAGAAAATTAAAAGGTTGTTTTTGTTATATTGTTTGTAGGTTTAAAAGGGTTTATAGAATCTAGTATTGGTCAAGCTATTGGTGGCGTTGCTAAGAAAAAGAAAAATGGTGGAATGAAAATGAAGGATGGGGCAACATTTTTTGAACTTTGTGAATCATTCAGGTTGGAATTAGTTCAGTTTTACATGTAACTTGTTTCAATTTGGTGACTAATTTTACCTTATTGCACACTTCATGAGGTTGTGCTGTAGCTCTATGAAAGTTCACTGGCTAGGTGAAATATATAACCCAGTGACAGCCTGAACAAAAGCAGTTGGAAGGCAAAATTTCTTTCATTACACACTTCCCAATACGTAACTGAAAAGAAAGACGTGAACTCTTTTTGAAAGTCATAAAGTTATTTAAGTTTCTTGTTGTATTTTCAGATTATTGAATAATCTATATAATTATACTCAAGGTCGATCTACAGTTAAAACTATCAATAAATCAGATTTACCTAAAGTAGCTCAAACTGCTTTATCTAAATTAGTTGGTTTATATCAGGTAATTATATAGTTCGAATTATACTTACAGAAGAATATAGTTCTGGTATAATGCTTTAAACAGGAAGTGTGCTCAAGCACCAAATTGTCGGATACATATTAATATTAATTTGGTCATTCAGTTCTAGATTTTCCATTGTTATGATCCATAAAATTCTTGACTTCTGAAGTATATTCGTAGAGGTGTAAATATATTTTTTCCAATTAATTTCATACATTTATTTGTGTTTTATGAGAAAATGAATGGATTGACCAGCAAATATTGGTAACTGAAATTTTACTTAATGTCTTATCAAACAGAATCCAGATGGTACAAAACAGGGTTTATTTGAGTTATTAATGACTTGGAAACAAGATATACAAGAAGATCTAAAAGAAAAGTTATGTTATACTAGTATAGCTGAAGTTGAAACTATAGTTTCTAGTTGGAAGAAAAAAACCCGACTGCAAGGAAGGGATCTTATACCTTTTACATGTAAGTCATCATTAGTGACAATTATTATTGGAAGAGTTATGCATACTGACAGTGGCAGTGGCAGTATGAAAAGAGTGGAGTAGGTGGTTGTTAGGGCATTTCCTTGTCCTTGAAAAAAATACTACCCCCAATTGAACCCCTACTTATTTTCTAAGAAAGTTCAAATTATGATTTCTATGTTTTCGTTCCAATTGTGTCAGAATGCACCAAATAAATTCTTTTTTTTTTTCAAAGTTTTTCTGTTGTAGAACCCTCCATGTCCTCCATGCCTTCCATACACAGTGCTTCAGTGCTAGAAATCTCAATCCTGACAGAAATCACTCTGTCTACTCTTTGTACCCCAATTTCCAGGAGGCTGGTGTGGCCACTGGTTATACAATTGTTGTTTCTGAAGCTGAATTTAATACTTAGGCTCTACCAATCATGACAGCATGATGAATGAAATTAAGCTTTATTTTTAGATATTGAAGATGATGGTAGTAAGCTATTAAAATTAATGGAAACTATTGGTGGACCAGTTATAAAACTACAACCAGAACAAATATTATTAATAGCTCGAGCAGGAAGTCATATGTATGGATTGTCTACCCCTGATAGTGATATAGATTATGTTGTTGTTTATAGGGAAATGACTGAGGTAAGAATTTAAAAGGATAGATTTATTCTTCACCATCAGAGAAACTTCAATTATAGCTACCTGTAACACTTTTCAGAAGTTAACTTCAACAAAATAGTGAAATGTTCAACTTGAGATCATTGTTACTGCTTTTCTATGGCTTTTATAAATTTTTTCAATTTATTTTTGAGCAGAAAGTTTTAGGAGCATGCAAGAAAATTCCAGAATGTTTTGAAAATCGTGGACCATCAAAGAAATTTGAATATGGGGCATATGAGGCGAGGTTATTTTGTGAAATGGTTTTAAAAGGAAGTGTAGTTATATTAGAGGTACATGTATTTTCATTACTTATTAGTGTAAATAAAGAACACACTATGCTCGCACTGAATAAGTAAATATATTAACTTGAAATTGTCTTATATACTTAATTTCACAAAATTAACTCATAACGTGTCTAAATTTTAAATTCATTTCACTTCAGTTAATATTTGCTGATGGACATGAATATGCTAGTCCTGCTTGGGAGGTAAGTTTCTTTATGTGCTAGATTAATCATTAACCTGACAATTCTAGATTCATCCAGTTCCCATGACGTGATATCAACCTGGTTAGGACCAGACTTCTGAATCATTTTGTGTCACTAGTTTTTTTTACAAAAGCCAAATTTGACATAACTGTTGGTGTCTTTTCAAAACTGAGTCTAACAAAGACATTACCAGATATTCTATGATGTCCCTGTGCCCCATACGGTACAACAAAACAGTCAGAGGGTATGGGTTTCCTCCTTTGTATTATTCTGTAGTATAATTTATGCGAGAATGATATCATTGTCAGCACTTGCCACTTGTTGTTTATAGATGGATAGGACAACCTCTATCACCTGTTCTGTATTCATGCAAAATTATACATAAGACATTATATGAAGGGGAGAAAACCAAATATATGTCCTTGCCTTGGTTCTTAATAGGATCACATTTATCATGTTATTTGCTATAATTTATAGGCATTGTGCAGTTATAAAGATAAGTTTATTACTGAACGAGGTATACATCAATATATTGGATTAATCAGGAATAATTTTAATATGATAGAGAGTAAGAAATATATTAATAGTGGAAGAGATAGGAAATTGTTTTATCAGGTAATGTTACATCTGATTGTTTAAAGCATTATGAGACATTTATTTTCTAATACATCCAAAAATCATGTACATGCATAGCCTTATTTGGCAACTGTCAGATTATTTGGTGTATCGATGTATCTCTACAGAATATTAAGTCTACCAATTGGAATGTAGACACATATACTGTTAGAGAATTCAATTCACACATTAAAAGACATTTTATGTAAAATATTTTCATTTTCAGATATTTCATAAAATAGACAGCGTAGAATATTTGATTCAAGATCAACCACCTCCAATTAAATGTCAAGGTCAAATCAAAGAATTCATATTGAAGATTAGAAAAGATCCATTAGAGGTAATTTCAGTTGTCAAGATTATCAACTATTATTTCTTTTATACTAGCAGAATTGTTTTTGTGTCCAAGGGAGGAAAACCCTGAGAAAATCACCGATCTTAATTTACGATAGAATGACGACCAGCAGGTCATCACAGACTACCGAAAAAAGACCAATGAAAGGATTTTCTCACGTATGACTGTGCTTCTGAAGCATTATCAGTTAGCTTGTCAAAACTTTTTAATGACGTCATTCTTGGTTATGTTAACAGAAGGGGCAGTAGAGTTCTGAAAATCCAGAAGGATCCTCATTAGCCTTAATTGTTATCCTTGTTAAAAAAGTACTATCTTTCTTTCTTTCCTTTATTTTAAGATATTTTAATTTCAGGGAGAAATTTCCAGAGAAAACCTGATAATAGAAGCTCAAAGAAGATTTGATAATTTAAATAAAGCTTTAGTAGACCGAGATACTCGATTAAAAGAAAATACAGATTTTAGGTTTTTAGCTAATTGGTTAAAAGGTGTAAGAGGAATACCAAGTTAATGAATATCCTTATAAAGTGTTTGTTATTTTAAGGTGTTTAATTGGATAACAAACTGAAAGATACTTGATAACAGAATAACAAAAAAATGTTAAAGAGGAGGCTTTTCATTATCTAATTTGTGTCTGAACTAATTTTTTAGCCAATTATTTAGATATTTATTAGATTTAGCTTAAAACTAAATGAATGTCATCAAAAAACATAAGGACACGTTTCTTTAAAAATCGAGCAGTTTCACTAACATCTGAATGATCTACAGAATATTACTCCAACTAGAGGAGACATTTTATATATAATACTTTCCTTTTCAGATATTTCATAATATGACACAATTACCATTTTAACCAAGCAAGATTTCTTTTATCTCTGATTTCGAAATACTTAAGTCTTTAGTCAGTTAAAAAACACATTCTTATATATTACTGTAAGATCTCATAGAATCTTTTGATGGTTCTAATGCTGAGGCCTTGCTTTGTTCTAGTGTATGTTGCCAAATGTTCCTGAAACAAAGTACTAGATATTGTTCTTTTGGATTTAATTTTATGTATTCTACCTATGACCAATATGAAACCTACACATCTTAGAGAATGAATAATGGCAATTTTGATAGGATTCAATCTTTTTCCCACCATGCTTGTTATCCTTGATCTCCACATTGTTAGTGAACGGGGAAAATAGTAGTTTTAAAAGTATATAGTCAGAATAAAGTAAATATCTAGGTGACTTTATCACTTTAAAATTTGATTTATTATGAAATCATTTCTTCAATTATTTATTATCATTTTAATTTTTTTTTAACAATTTATTTTATTGTGTATTTGTGAACTGTTTATGTTCTGTGATATCTTTATTTATTAAAGCTTTATAATTCAATATTTTCTTTCTGTTAGATATGATGATAACATTCATGAATATATGGGAGCAGGTAATTCCATCATCACTAATAAGAGACAGCACATTGAATCATAATTGCAATAAATTTATGCCAAAGTCTATCTGTTCTGTGCTTTAAGTAAATAATATAAAACTGAACAATACAGAATATTGTGTCCTATAATTCTCAAATGTTGACAGCATTTCAGGACTATACTGTGACCTTTTCAACTTTCATTTTGGATCTGAATGTAAAATATTGAAACTAGCAAAGTTTGAACAGGAGCTGGCAATTTTTCTACCCTTTTAGTTTTCACTGATTAAAAAGATATGATTGATAACAAACAATTATATAGGACTAGCCTATTGGTATTTGACCTTAGAACTGATATGAATATAATACAGACATGCAATGAAAAAATGATAAAATCATATATTGTCTAAATAGTGAGCTGATAGGACAACAACTTTGAATGGATCAGAGCAACACTGAAATGTAAAATGCTAAACAGTGTCAAAATGTTAATAGCTGATGGTCAAAATTCTAAAAATGTTACGTTCTTTATCAAGTAGGATTTTATTGGACTTTTTTTTATTTGTTAATATGGATGTAAAGGGTAGGCTTTAAACATTTAATACAAAACTATAACATGTAATAATTAGGCTAAGGTAGGCCCATGGGGTTCACTTTCTTACCTTATACGTAGTTTTAAAATAGGCTACAGAGACAGAAATAAGCACGTTAATGAAATAGATAATATTGTAAACGTTTTCGTTTTTGCAGTTTCGTCTTGAAATTTAACATGTACCGTAACAATTTTATCTGACTTACGAAACTACGTGTGGTTCTTACTTGGAAGTAACACACGAACATAGTTCACAGCCATTTTGAATCTGTACCTGACTGAATAAGTCGATTTTTTAAAAAAGCTTTATACTTCAACTATGCCTTTTTATCACAATGAGAAATTTGCTTAAAGTGTGATTCGAAAACTTTATTGAAATATTATGGATTTTTACAAATTCGACTTTTAAGTCAAGGTAGAAATTCAAAATGGCTGTGAACGTTCGTGGGTGTTATTTCCATGTAAGAACCATGTAGTTTCATTTGTATTTTCTGCGACAGACTTAATTTGTCCGTTTTGACGCAAAGGTGGGCGATTATATCATTGAATAGCAGGTGCCCGGTCGCTTACACCATAATTTGTCGCTTGTATCAATGAAAAATTTAACGTCAAAGCAAGAAATAACTCAAAAGTCAAGGCAGATTCCCATCAGTTTATATAATATGATATACAATCTTTAGTTTCGATAAGAATGTACCCAAAGTAAATGGGCTAAGGATTTAACTTATCGATATATTGGTCCTGTTGGACCGAATCAATTGATCATGGCTAGCTTAAATAACGAAAATGAAAGGCTTCTCCAAAATGATGATGGCGATGAAAATTTTTATGATGAATCGAGCAGCCCTACTTTCAATCAAGGTAATAGAAGCCATAAAGAATCTTCTTTATTCTTATTTCCTTAGAACTGTTGACTTAAGAATTTAACAGGATATTTGGAAGCTGTAATAACTTTTCATTATTTTGTCTGATCATGCACAAGGTGTTGTCACCCTACACACATATTTTGTTTTACAAGAACTGTTACAGACATAAAAAAAAAACTAACCCAAAAAGGACCTATTCAACAAAATGAAAGATAGGGCCTATAGCCATCCCTACCTTACCCTATACAAGTCACTAAATATGGCATTGTCTCTCAAGATGGCATTGTCCACCCCAAGAAACTGGAAGAAGCGTTTTTAGAGCTTTTAAGCTCTGCTGTAGCTGTAGTGCGGATCTCAAAGTTCATGGCTCTTCTGATATTGAGTGGGCCTATGGCTCATGTCAGAAAGAATGTTATCAATTTGCTGAAACAGGGAGATCATGTGCTTTTTATTTTTTGAATTATGCAGCCCAAAAATTTGGTTCACTCTGAAATGTATAAAACTAACCTATTTTCTCACATGATTTTGATCATGTGAGACAGGAGTTAAAAATCTGAAATGACTTAAATATAAAACTTTATTTACCAAACTGTTTGGATGGCTAAAGGATTTATATTTCACAGAGTCACAATTTTTCTGCCAAAATCTTAATCTTAATATAAAAGAGCCTTGTAGATTTAAAACTGATTATATATTCATAATTTACACAAAAATTTATTTGAAATAGATCAGTTTGTGGGGTACAAATCTTTTTGAAATAATGTTTAAATGGTTGTAAAAAGTAATTGAAATTTGTTTAAATCAGTCAATCTCCAGATCTCCAGATCTCCAGAACGCAGATTATAGATATAAGCCACCAAATACACAAGTTGGAGGTTTATGTTATAGTGGGGTAAAGAAAGTTTCATTTTCAACCAATTGCAGATTTTTAATTAAAATGTTAATGTTAAACAATATTTGGGATGTGTAATTTAAAAATTAAATACCACAGGGTCTCCCTGTTTCTGGAAATTGATCACAGAACCAATGAAATGACCTGTACCAAATATCAGATGCCATTGAACAAAATTGATGGTGCCAATGGCTGCTAACATCCTGAAAATATTAATGAATATTTCATATAATCCAAACTTTGACACAAAATTTTATGCTAAATTTGTAATCTACATAAAGAGTTTTTTATATTATATTTATAGTACCACTATATTATGTAATTTGATGGATCTGAAAACCAAAATCTAGAATGTCATTTTTTATAACAAAAAAAACGGAATTCCCCTTTAATAACAACTGAAAGATAACTTGATGTAACATCTGGTTTTAATGATGTTAAACCATGTTCACATTACAAACTTCTTTTCCCTATATCCCTACATGAAGAGAGAGGGGGAGGTATTCAAAGTTCAGGCCCTAAGTTAGCCCAAGAAGGGAGGGGGGAAAGAAATATATTAAAGCAGCTCAAATATTTGACATGAGATTAAACTAGTTTATGTAAACTTTTCAAATTTTGGTATTTTAAAAAATAACTGCAATATGTTTTTTGTGACAAATTTCAGATAAGACAAGTGACAATTTCTCAGGATTTTGGTCTACAGTTTTCATTAAATAAAGCTCCTAACTTTCAACCTACTTAAAAAATCAGAATATCTCTTTAACATGAGCCCAACTGGGGAAATGGAGGCCTTAGCTACGTGCCTGACAAAGGAAGTCCTTATATCTGGTTTGGCTGTGCATGTCAAACTTTAAGGTTTCACTTTCGGATTCAATAGGTTTTAAAAGCATTGTAAAAGTTGAAAAGCTTTCAATATTTATATATAACTGATGTTAAGATATTTCTATAAAATTGTAGTGTGAACAATAGATATTAATGATAAAATATATATATATTAGAACTGAATGATAAAAAAATACCGTCACAGACAGTTAACAGTAAATAGAGCTGATACTTTTGACATTATGTCTATTTGAATTCATTTGGTTGTATATGACATTTGATGAAAAACTGAATAAATGACTAAGTCATTTATGTATATTTGTGGAGTGATCTCTTGCCTTTTCACACCAATAATGCTAGTGAACACGAAAATTGTATCTACCTACAAAAAAGCGGATTGCCTCTTTAAAAAATTGAATAATGATTCAGACCAACGGTAGAATAACTAAATATTTAAATGTAGGCACAGAGTTCCCAAAAATCTGTTATAGCTTTTAGCATTAGGGTATTTTAGGATGGAAGATGATGAAACACGTTTTATTTTATCTGACCAAGGTAATTATGTTATATTGTGATTTGTAAGATTAAGTGGAATTATAACATGCTCTTGAAAAAGAAAAGATATTGCAATTTGCTATGTGGCTGAAGTATTATAATAAGGTCTTCATTAATTTGTATTCTGAAACCATTGATGGAAAATGGCTGTGAGTTTAAACCTTAGTTTGAACAATTATAGTTTGAGAACATGGGTACCTTGGCACATAGAAATGTTCTCAAGTAGGGGAATGTAACAATGTATTATTTTCATTAGAGAAGGTCAATTGGATTAATGATTAATGAAGTTAAAATCCAAGTTCAAATGTTCAATATGCAAATGTTGCTTAATGAAATGTCCATCTTATGGTATATTTTATCGTATTCAGATGAATGCCTGTGTTTGTGGTCATATGAATGTCAATTCTTATTCCGCTCGCTTTTAGTTATTGATCAACTTCCTCAGGAGAATATATATAGTAAGAAACCAAAATGAGGGGAGAGTAAGGTCGCTGTTTGAGAAGGATCTATAATGTAATGATGTAGCTATATATTGTATTTATATACCTTTGTTAATGTTACAAGTATGGTCTTGTTGTTGTGTGTTGTATTTTATTTAATTGGGGCTGGGATGGAATTGGTACCCTATAATAATGAAATCTTACTCTTGAGTGTGCACATTCCGCATTTCAGTCAAGATCCTATTTTAATAAATGACGTGACGACATTCAACATTGAATTCTGAATATTTCAGGTCACATGGTGTCTTTTGTTTATTTCAATCACACTATTGATTGGCGAAATGATAAACATATTTTAAATGATATAAGATCTGCAGGGAGTGAGGTAGCACAGAAAACGAGGCAAGAAATGTAGAGTTTTACAGATTGTCCCAGGAAGCAAAGTATCTCATTAAATTAAAGAACTTTATTTATTTTAATTTAGATTACCAACAATCCCCATCTAGACCAAGACATGTTGAAGGTCTCTATACTTATGAGGAGGGAATATCTCAAACAGGTAAATTTAGTTTATACACTCGTATTCCTGTTGCCTTTGATCCTAATATTTTTTGAATCACAAGAATATTCTCTTATATTTTTGAGTTCAATCCCAGCAGGTTTTTCAATCCTGTTTCCACATGTCAGTTCTGATGGGACAATAAACTCTATAAACCAAGGCCTCTGCGCCACAGACTGTGCATGTTAAAGATCTCTCGACAGTTGCAAATCGAAAAGGAGCAGGCTGATGCCACTCCCAAAATTTCACATTACACCCTACATGGCGTTTCTCATCTTCATTAGACAACATGATGCAGAAAAATATGACGTAAAACTCCATTCATTTCAGTTTCTGTTCGTAGTTAAAGAGTAATGATTTAACCCTTTGACCACTAACTGTTAAGAACACAATTATCAAGTGTAAATCTGGCATATCTTGAGATTAAGGCATATAATATTTAATCACTATTTGATTCAAAGGATTAAAAAACACTAAATTTTCCTAAAAAAACCTAAAAATAATCCTCAAAATTCTACAGCACCACAACATTATATACTTTTATATTATAGGGTATGGAAAATTCCACGTATTTTTGGTGTTATTGTGTGGCTGGGCAGTGTCCAGTGATGCCGTAGAAGTTTTGTCCGTTTCATTTTTAATTCCATCAGCTTCATGTTCAAATGACTTAAATTTATCATCTTCTGATAAAGGATGGCTCAATGCTATTGTTTTCGTTGGTAAGCCATTTTAAACTTTACCTTTTATTATATATTGGCTTATGAAATGTGACATGTATAATACCTGTGTCTGGACTATTCCCAAACCTGTTGAGTGTTGTGACCTTGTCATATTTTTTCGATATATCTATGGGCCAGTCAACTTATGTTCATGTTAAACTTGTGACTGGCAACTGCCACAAAACATCACAGTTTGTTGAGATTTCTGTTAAGAGATGGAATCTGGATGACCATGTTGATGACCCAAGTAGATCAAAATGACCTCATGTTGACTACAACCAATCTGGTGACATGCTTTGAATGGCTATTAAACCAGAGCTCTCTTTAAGCAACCTGAAGATTTTCTATTTTTTTCGGTAGGTATGATGGTTGGGGGGTATTTTTGGGGATCACTAGCTGATAGTGTTGGTAGACGGTCAGTATTGATGTGGTCATTAAGTCTTAATGGTATTGGAGCCTTATTATCTAGTACCTCTCAAGTCTTTTGGTTATTTCTATTGTTCAGATTAATAAGTGGTATTGGGTAAGTATATCATTCAAGGTTTGTAGTCAAATCCCAGGTAAAAGTTGCAAGAATTACCTGTAGAGTTTGCATATAAAAGAAACAATACTTGGCATCAATGAGGGGCAGAATGAAAGACTCAGGATCTGGATGCTCATTGGTATTGTATGGCCTAATTTTTTTACCCTTTTGTAATAAAGATATTATTATTATTATTCTTATTGTTAATTATTAATTATAATTATTATTATTATTATTATTATTATTATTATTATTATTATTATTATTATTATTATTAATTATTAATTATTATCATTATTATTATTATTATTAATTATTATTATTAATTATTAATTATTAATTATTATTATTATTAATTATTGTTATTGTTATTATTATTGTTTATTATTATTATTATTATTATTATTGTTAATTATTGATTATTAATTATTATTATTTTTATTATTATTGTTTATTATTAATTATTAATTATTATTATTATTTGTTAGTTAACAAATCGTATAAAATTTTGCCTTTTGAACTCTTTCTATGAAGGCTATAAATTAATATATGTTGTTTTAACGTTAGTGTTGGTGGAAGTATACCTGTAATATTTACATATTTTGTTGAATTTCAACCTAAAAATAAGCGTGGTGGTATGATTAGTTTATTAGCAACATTTTGGATGGGAGGGAATATATTGGCAGCAGGTAAGATTTGACTCCAAGCTTTATAATGATTATAAAAGGATCACATCTTACTAATTGATTTAATCACTCAATCTTAGCTTCTATTAGAATGAAAATATGTTGTTCGGTTTGACTGCGATTAAGTTCAAATGTCAAATTTCTCGAAGAGAAATATAAGACAGGTTAAGAGTGTTTTAAGACAGGTTTAGAGTGTTATAAGCCAGGTTTAGTGTGTATAAGCCAGGTTTAAAGCGTTATAAGCCAGATTTAGAGTGCAGGATTATTTTTTTATTTTTTTGCATTACAGGTCTGGCATGGTTAATTGTTCCACATGAAAACTTTGGTTATTCCTCGCCTTCATTCTTGTATAATAGTTGGAGAATATTTGTAGCATTCTGTACCATTCCAAGTTTTACTTCAGCAGCCATTTTCTTTATCATGCCTGAAAGTCCAAAATTTTTACTTCAGGTACATTTGATTGTATATAATTATATTTCCCTAGATGATTTAAATTGCTGATATCATATATTCATCCTTAGTTTATATTCAGGGCTTAGTTCTTGAAAACTTGAAATAAGATGAATTTAGTGTTCCAGTCATCTGAATGATCAATCACTAAAATCGATTTTAAGGTTAATTTCATAATCCAATGATAAAAATGTATTTTACATTTAAAAAAATGCCCCTGGATTGACGTTATTTCATACCAATTATCAAGCAGTGTGAAGGTATAGTTGGGATGAAAAGAAGTCAATACTAGTTAACCAGTATTTTCATGCCAACATTTTCGTTTGTTTTGCATGCAGCACAGAAGACAATCAACTTCTAGGTTTGTGACTTAGCATTGTTTTGCACTTATGAATTGAACAGAGTATGTATTTAAATGTTTTTTGTTGATATTTCAGAAAGGAAAAGAAATTGATGCCATCCATGTTTTAAAAAGAATCCATCATCAAAATAAACATAGGAATCAATTTACTGTGAGTATATTTATGTCACTATACAGAATTATAATCTAACAGCCCCCTAATATAAATATTGCAGTACACACACATTCATAACATTATACTAGACACCACTAACAGAACAGCTACCTCTGTTCATTGTGCATTCACAACACTAACAGAGCAGCTAACTCTATTCATTGTGCATAGACACCACTAACAGAACAGCTAACTATGTTCATTGTTCATAGACACCACTAACAGAACAGCTACCTCTGTTCATTGTGCATACACAACACTAACAGAGCAGCTAACTCTATTCATTGTTCATAGACACCACTAACAGAACAGTTCATTGTGCATAGACACCACTAACAGAACAGCTCCCTCTGTTCATTGTGCATACACAACACTAACAGAACAGCTAACTGTGTTCATTGTTCATAGACACCACTAACAGAACAGCTAACTCTGATCATTGTTCATAGACACCACTTACAGAACACCTACCTCTGTTCATTGTGCATAGACACCACTAACAGAACAGCTAACTGTGTTCATTGTTGATAGACACCACTTTACAGAACAGCTACCTCTGTTCATTGTGCATAGACACCACTAACAGAATAGCTAACTCTGTTCATTGTCCATAGACACCTCGAACAAAAACAGCTATCGCAGATCATTTGAGATGTTTCAAAGTGAAAAATGTATAGCACATAGGATTATGTCTAGAATATACCTTTAATGATGTAAAACTTTTCTCTTTGAATTTAGGTCAAAAATCTTGTATTATCAGAAGATGATAAATATAATTTTGATCAATCGGAAAGAGTGGCATCAAAACCAGTAGGTAAATGGTATCATTGTTTCTCTAAAGATTCCATCACAAAGGTTAGTTCACTTTAAACACCAAATTTATCATCATGAATGCTTGAGATCAAAGGGCATATTCATTGTATGTGCCATCATTTGTACCTTAGTCTCATAAACGAGCAAAGCTATATAGTAATAGAATTCACATCTTATTCTTATTCTCCGTATGTACCCACAGTTTAACCACATTTAAAATTAAGAAATTTAAATATTTTGATTAATTATATTTTTTAGCTTTTATCCACTACCCTGAGACTCTTTCATAAAGATCTAAGAAGACAAACTATAATTTTGATTATCATAAACTTTACTTTATCTTTTGGGTAAGAAAAAAAATTTGAAAGGAAGTTAAATACAAAACATGGTTGGTATGTACGTTAGCATATATAACAATACAGAGTTCTCGACAGAAAATCTTTAAACAATAAGCCATAATGTCTGTCGATAGTTGTGGTTGGCTGTATTTGTTAGCGTACAATCCAATCAAATCGCTGCATACTTTGATACAAAAAAAGGTGGAGTCAAGGCATAAAACAAAGTTCATGCTTGCTTGAGATTTTGAAGATGGACCTTCCATCATACCTATACCTTCTTAATTTAGATTTGCATCTGCAAGTAAATCATTGAAAAATTAGTGATGTGAGAACAGTTTATTAATTGATTTTAAAAACTGCACGCTGCAATTAAAAATTTTAATTAATCAAAAATTATACTATTCAATCTTTATTTTCATTAGGTATTATGGGTTGTTTATGTGGTTTCCAGAGTTATTTAACAGAATAGATAAATATGGTGGAACGCCTTGTGATCCTGGTTTAATAAATTCAACACTAAACACTACCACTGACAATTCTTGCCATCCTCCAACTAATTGGGTATTTTTCGCAGGCTTTATGACAGCTTTATCAAACCTTCCAGCCAATATATTCACTATATTTTGTATGGATAGACTTGGAAGAAAATACTTATTGGGTAAGTTGCATTTCCGTCTTCAAAAAATTTCCTGGGCAAACCTGATTATATGATATTTTCATACACTGTGTGAGCTCTCTGAATATATTGAAGTTGTTTAGGATTTCAGTTGTCCCTGGAGGAGCAAAAATATTGTTGCTCGAACATACATAATACATTTTATGTCTTCTAGCCTCTAGTATGGTGTTATCTGGTATTTGTGTATTTTTTATATGGTTTGTAAGAACTAAAGTAGAGAATTTAATAATGTCCTGTTTATTTGGTCTTGTTTCCACTGTTGGCTGGAACTCACTGGATGTTCTTTCAGCTGAACTCTTCCCAACTGAAGTCAGGTAAGCTCTATGCATTTATAATCTTTGCACTGTTGGTAACTAAGAGTCATATCTTTGATATGTTATAACCTGCAAGTAAAACTGTTTTGTTTTTGTCCAATTAGTTGATGAGGCCTATTCCAAGTCACAGGGTCATTATTCAAACAATTTACCACCATTTGAATCATCTCCTTTTATTTGAAAGCATAGGAACGAAGGTTGAATCTTTAAAAAGGGCTGATATTTCAGCAATGCCTTCTAATCACATTTAAAGCCATATCAAAGGTGATTTGAAGACTTCGCTGAAATATTGCAGCTTTTTCAAAATTCAACTTATTAAGTCAAGGTTGTGATTAGTTGTGAACTATGTTCATGTGTGTTATTTCTATGTAAGAATCATACGTAGTGTCTTATGGGTAAGAAGCATGAAATTGCTTCAGAAACAATTTTTCTATTATAGATCTACAGGATTCGGTGTTCAGCAAGCCTTTGCCAGAGTAGGTGCTATTTTGGGTAATGTTATATTTGGAGAGTTATTAGATGTTCACTGTGCTATACCAATGTTATTAGTGGCAGCTTTATTGGCGTTTGGTGGATTATCTTCATTAAAACTGCCTAATACAGCTGAAATTGATATCCATTAGAGATGTGTTGTTATGATCATATATATTTTTACTTTCTGTGATAAAAAAAGCTATATGATGTTTCTCAAGGACTCTCAAAATGTGATAACATCACCGCAAGTGAATTTAAACATTTTTGCCAAACATGACTGGCAAATTCTGTCAGAGATTCCAGAGAATAAGAATTTGGATTAAAAAGCAGAGCAAACGAAAGACTAATGTGGACTGCCAAAGTGACCCTACCTCGCTTTTCAATGACCAATGAATGATACTCATTTTCAGGTATCTCATTGTGGTGACACACATGGTACTACATTATTTTTGATTAAGAATTTGTAATCAATGTTTTATTATAGGCCTACACAATAAATTTAAGTGATCATTTCAAATTTCCTTTTGTAATTACCTTGTACATGTATATTGATATTTTATTTTCTACTAAAATAAATATTTCTTGTATTGATTCTTCCAAAATAATCCTTCAAGACATCATTTCTAGCCTTTTGATGAGAAACATCGTAGTCTGTGGTCAGTTAACCATATTTATGCATGTATTAAAATTGGATCTCTACTGAACATTGTCCTCAGAACCATTGTGCTTCTCAAGTTATACTTGTTAACAACCAGGCTTTGATTATGATAATTGTTCTTTTGGTGTAAATTATGAAGTGTAATTTAATGCTCTGGGTTAGTTATGCCAGTAACTAGCTTCAGTACACTGGGATTAAATCCTTAAGTCAGACATTCACATTGAGGTTACGAAAACAAACAAAATATATTATTTTAAAGGTCAGGTGAGTCATTTTTTTTTACCAATCATACTTTAGTCTTGGAAATGAGAATTTTTAGCTAAGCCAATCAGTAATAGTGTTCACAACTCGCTGTCGAAATTCGAGCCTTCAAATCCATGTGTGTCCAGAATTATCTGCGATTGAATGTTAAAATGACCTAGAAAAGGCACATATAGAAAAAGTGAGTAAAATTCCCAGTGCGAATTGTGCAATTTTGTACATTTCTAATACTTCTGAAGACTATACATATATTCAAGGCTAAAATCAACCCCCAAAAAAGCCAATTCTGTTCCTTTAAAATCTTTATTCAAAAGAATTTATTTACAAAAAAGTATTATTTATGTACATGTATCACATTTGTATTTGTAAAAAGACATGTTTGAAATACCGAATTTTAAAAGGACAAAATATATAGCAAATTAATGAAGCACAGCCATACTTTAAATCTAGATCTACAGTATGATAGCTAAAAAATATGTGGCATGGTTTCTTTAAAATAAACTAAAAGATTTAGAGCTTAAATGTTCCCTACTTATAAAGTTTAGGTACCTTCAAATTTCCATTCTAAAAAGAGATAAAGGTAGCATTATTATATGCCAAGGAAAACATAAAATTGATCTTAAAAAATCTTTAAAAATCCCATTAAAATCAATTTAAAAACAACATGAAATTTATGATTCTATTTTGAACATAATAAATCATTAACTAATTTCATCTCAAAATGAAGTTTGAAAGGGTATGATATGATAACCTGGCAGGTAGCACTATATTGAAGGGTGTAGTGAGAATCATTTAACTGGGGTTTAATTTTAACTGTGAAATATCAGGTAAATCTGATGATGATGATGACTGACTACCCAAAAGTAATATGGGTACATCTGTTCTGTTAATAAAATTTTCAAGTAGTTGCCATGGTTTCCAAGATATCTGAAATGATAAATAATAATATTGTATTGGAGCTTCATACTTACTTATCACAAACATAATCTTTAAAACAGATCAAAACAGTGGAAAAAATCAAAGCCTGCTTCTGTTAAAAGGCTTCTGAATAAAATTTATGGTAAGTTTGAAATTGATAAGATGAAATTCTGTTAAACAGTACCTTGTCATCTTGTTTAAAATGTGATTTCTGAAATGAAACAACACCATCTTTAACAGTTAAACCACACTGAATACAGACATCTTCTACTTCCTCTTGACTGTTAAATAATAATAACTCTTCTAGTTTACAGGTTGGATATTTACTATTTTTACTGGTATACCCTACACTCATCATAAATAATCCATTTCTATAAAATATACATACTACATTACTATCAAACAAACAAAAGCATGTCATCATTTGGAAGGTAAAAAATGTTTTATTTTCAATGATAGGAAACCAGGACATAGATGAAATCAGGAGACAAGGTAGAATATTAATCTAACTCTTTAATCTCTTTGAAATAAGACTTAAGTGTGACAACAAAAAGACGCTCTTGTCCTAACAAGGAAGAAACTTGGGTTCCTAGGGAGCTGTAGAAGGGGCACAAATTGTATTTTAAATATTAATAATTTTCTTGAAAGAAAAATTCATCTAGATCCCAAGAGTATTCAAATTCATTGGCTATATCAATTCATACGTACTTATCCCAATTTCAGTTAGACATTATAACATATATATATATATATATATATATATATATTACTTACAGTTGTATTTTAGCAAGATGTCTTTGAGCTGCACATAAACTTAAAATACAGGGTAACTTTCTTATTTGTCTTAAAGATTTAATATAATTTCTCAATAAATAGTTTATACTAGCATGATAGGCTGACTTTAAAACTCCATTATTTCTGGAAAGTAAAACACAAATTAAGTTTAAGAAATCTTTAAAAATATCTGCTATTTCTGTCAAATCATTATATCAGTCATCTGTACTGGTTATTCCTGCTGACCCAGCTGTAAATGGGTACATATAATTCTGGATCTTCATGAACTTAAGTTGTTATCCTTGTAAAATATAGTTCTTTCTTTTTTTTGTCAAATTTGACCATGCCTGACAGTTATACCCAAAAGAAATATTAAAAGCCAATCAAGTACATAAATGAAATACATGTAATTGAGCTTAAACATATGGAACAACTGAACTTACCTGATTTTATTTGGAAGTTCCAAGTAATGAGTTAAAGCTGCAGCATCTCCTAGATTAAACATTAAATACATGCACTCGAATTCTATTTGATTTTCATGTTGACCTTCTACTTTGTCATATAGGGAGAGCAGTCTCTTTAAACATTCCTGTGTGTGTTGATTATTTATTGTGGGGTCAAAGGTAGGTGTTATCTTTGTTCCCATTCTGAAAAATAAATTTACATGATATAATTGTATTATGAATGTGAAGGGCAATGTAAGGTAGTGTATTATTAGGGACAAAGGATCATTAGTTACTATATGGCTTAAATTAGAGATAATCTATTGCATTACACAAACCATCTTTAAACGTTAATCTTGGGCTCTAACCTACCTATAGACCATAAATATATAAAATCTAACTATCTTTTCTAATAAACTTATTGCTTCTAAACCCTGGATATTCTGTATTACCATATCTTGTCTTACTGCTCTCAATCGATCAAATACATAATCATAAATATTACTCCAGGCAATATTAGACTGTCCTACAATACTGTAATAAAAACATTAACAAAATCTGCATCCATGTATAGTGAATAAAAGAAAAAAAAGCTTAATAATTTACATTAAAAACTCCCATTTCCCATCACCAAAAAAGAGTGTAAAATATTAGTTCTGCACTAGCATTTCTGATAAACTTCATACAGTTCAACTCTGTTTTCATCAAATATTTTAAGATCTGGTCTACTCGGCCAAAGAACATTTGAGTAAAAAGATCAAATATACAAAATGATAAATCATATCTCAAAATCTTCGACATGTTTTTTTTTTTTAAGGTTATCTCTAATTTAATTTAATTTAAAAGTGAGAACCATTATTACTTTCTCTGCTCTAGTCTTGGAAAGAATCTCACTTACCATGTGTAAAGATAGTTAATAGTTTCATGTAAAACTGGTACTGTTCTGAGTGTTGCAGGATCTGCTTCTTCTTGACCTGCAGCTGGTCTTTTATATTCCTTCACCATTTTAGCCAAAACACATCTCGGCCTAGATCGGAGATGACGATATAAGATTACAAAATACAGAAAGAAGCTACAATTAAGTCAATCTTAACGAATTGTTTTCAGTTAATTTTGAAATCATTATGCATTATACTACAGACTTGGCAATGCACATAATAACATTATTAGTAAACATACCGTTTTTGTCTACGATTGTGTTCTTCCATTTCAAATGGATGTAATAAACCCTCTCTCTGTCTCCTGAATAAATCAAATTAAAATTAAAGCATCTAATTCATGGTAAGAATTTTTCTAACATTGATTAAACATAATGCCAACATGGACTAATATACCATCCATTGGCATATGCTTACATAATATGTGTATAGGTCTATAGTTTTCATGGAAAATGATTGCATGTAAAAATCCAAGTGTAGCTTAATTACTCATCATATCATGCAAGCCTATGACTATAAGTCATGTATGCAGACAACTCACACATCTTTGACATTTAAGACATTCCCTTCCTACTAAGTTCCTTTCAGATTTCACTGTTCAGTGGGCTATCGCATTGTTTACTTACATATCTATTTCGCTTTGAGGACATTTCGTGGTGCATGTGCCTTCAATGATAGCCTTGATTTCCATTATTTCTTCTGAAATTTGCAAAAATTTGTTTTAGTGTGCTAAAATATTTAAATAATATTAAAATCAGGTAAAATCATAAAAATTTCTATTTCTTAACGTCCATTTTGACAAAGGGAGATTACTCTTTTAAAACCTGGTAGATTCTTGATCGTCCAGTTATTCTGCACATGAACCTCGTATAGCAGGCTTCGAAGCCTACTTATTATCATTATGCTTATCCATCCCCTCCATTTTCTTAATATGGGTAATTAGCTTATAATTAAGCCCTATAGTGAAAAAACTAGATAATCAAGATCTGCAGCCTAAATGTCTAATATAGCCATTACATTGAACAAAATTAAAGTTACCCATTTTTGCGAGTAAAAGCCGATATAATTATGCTCTTGCAAAGCCTTCATTGCACACTGAAAGGTGTAGGCCTATCCTTCATTCAACACATTCGGTAGATTACATAGACATACAGTTGCTTCATAAAATTGTGCTACATATTCTTGCGATAAAGTTAAGTGATTCTGTTCAGCATTCAATAAAAAGTGTGTTATTTGTTCTCCGGTATATACCTAAAGCTATTATAGGACAGCTCTGTACGACATAAACGTGAATAGTTATCAAGTATCACGTGGGTAGTATTTACATAGGCTACTGCAGGTTTCTTCATATCCGCCCATTTGCACACCGAAGTACATGTAAGTAAAGTAAATAATACTTTTATTTCCTCCTGCACCAAAAGTGCCATGTTTTATGCGTCGATGATCCATTAGCTGTTTTGAACAATGTTGATACCGTAATTGCATAATAGCCTATATATCGGTTAATGGGGTCATGCTTTGTCTGCTGGCTGCAGAAGTCGTGAATATTGTGACCCACATTTTATTTTACCAAGTTCAATCGATAATAATGATTATTCTTATCATTAAAAAACATAGAATACAACCCATTCTAGGTCATAAAATAGTGCAGATTCGGGTAGGCCTATAGCTATTATAATCAAGCTATTAAACATAGTACGGAATCAGCTGTAACATAGATGTATAATGATATGTCCTATATCTGCCCGAAAGGTTGCAGCAACCCGTTAAAAGTCTATATAAAACATCTTTGCAAATAAATACATTGGATCCATTCCAATCGTGTCGGAGGTATTTAAACGAATGAGGCATTGAATGAATGAGCAAATTTCTAGTCCTCTAAAATGCCTGGACCAGTTATTTTATTGGTTAATAAATCTAAATTGAAATACAATTCTAGTGATGAACCGAAACATCTGCCTCCATTCCAGCCTCTGATATAGCTATTGTAACTGTTGCCGGCTGGTGTAGAGAAAGGAAAAACTAGACCCTGTTTTGTAGAGATTTTCGGCACCCCCGAAGTGACCGAAACACTTAAATGATCATAGATTTAAGTTTCCGAGATAGTACCATATAGTAATAAACAATACAGATTCCCCATTAAAAACCAATGTAGCCTTCCGTGTCGTTTAATTACAGTCTCAGAATGGATCCTCCACCTTTAATTCCCGTAGAATATTATAGATATATACTTATTGGACTTGGTGTATATTTTCTATGGATTAATATTATACTTATTGTGACCCTGATAACATTATCTATAGCTGCTTTCTATGGTACCAGGTATTATTTAAAGAGAAACAAACCTAAGATAGACGTGAAAGGAAAAGCTATCTTTATAACTGGTTGTGACACTGGTAAGTAAGATATCATCTTCACAATGTCCAACTTTACCGACTAGTACTTATACCTTGACTGCAGTAGTCACATTTCTTGTATCATGGACGTTTGCAATAGCCATTTATTCTTTTATCACAGACTGCAGCGATTTGATTCGATTGTACACCAGCGAATACAGGCTATCAGAACCCTTGAAAGAAAGGATGTAAACATTATGGCTTTGTGTTCACAAACTTTCTGTTGAATCCTATGATTGGCTGTATTCGCTAGCGTGCAATCAAATCAAATCGCTTCAGTCAATGATACAAGAATAGTGGTTATTACAGTCAAGATAGAAGTACGAAGTTTGTAATAGACTGATATTGCGAAGATGGGTATTTTAGCTATGACTAAATTTTTATATCATTTCTTCTCTATATGCTTGAAGGGCACTAGAATGTCACAGTGGTCAATGAAACAATCCATGATTTGTTGTACGAATGTGTTTCAAGAGGCGGATTGAACTATCTACTGCGTGGAACTGGCGCCATCTGGGAGACTCAGACTTGACAAATCTACCAATTCCAATTTAAGTTCCATTTTTATTATAGGTTTCGGCTTTGACCTTGCCTTGCTTACAAATGATCAAGGATTCATAGTATTTGCTGGTTGCTTGAAACCTGATGGTTCTGGTGCTAAAAACCTCCAGTCAAGATCGTCTGATCGTATACAGATTGTACCTCTTGATGTAACTAGTGATGATAGTGTTGCCAATGCTTTACAGTGTGTGACAGACGCATGTCAAAGCAGAAGTAAGTCAATGTGTTGATCTATGATCTATTGTGTGCACACAATGACAAATGGTTCTTAAAAAAACTGCTGGCTTGTAAATTCAATCGGCATCACTGATTGATGGACGATTGTCCAGACGACATAAAGCAAAAAAATCAAACGTTATGTTGAACATACAAATTGTTATGAAAACATTCGCCATACAGAAATGAAAATATGTTTTATACGTTAACTGTATATGAAACAACATCCTTTTGGTTGTTAAGTCGAATCCTACAGATCATTGCAGTTGTTATTTATATTGAAATTACGGAAGCTTTGATCTTGTATCGCCCATCAAGCATTGATGAAGTATTCACAGTAGTTACTGGTACTAGCTGTTTAAGAAGTCTTTGGTCAAGTTTGTTTATTCTTTAATTACATAAACCATTTTAATGAAAATGTGATATTACTATTTAGAATTAGAGTTATGGGGAGTGGTAAATAACGCTGGTATAAACTATGTTGGCCCTATAGAATTAAACAGTTTACAACAAATCGACAGAGTTTGTGATATAAATCTATTTGGTACTGTTCGTGTTACAAAGGCGTTTTTATCATTACTTCGTCAATCTCAAGGTAGGGGTCATCCTCTGCATCACCCAGTGCCGCTTTTGGTTTAGTAGAACCCTTCTCAACCAGCTTATTCACTATATAATTAGTAGAAGAAAAACCCCACAAATATCTATTAACCCCTGTTAACCTTAATCTTCTATTGGTAGTCATATGCAGTGAAAAAACCACAACGCTTCTTGGAATCATTAGAATCATTTAACATTAGTCGATAATGTATGGGTGTGCAATAAGCCGAAGTTAAGCGGTCTGCAAGTTCTCAAAGGTTTGGGATTTCTGACGTAGGTTTTAAAAGTACTACAGTCATAATGGTTATAGGTTAAAACTTATAAGATCATTGACATTTCAGGTCGTGTCATAAACATTTCAAGTGAAAGAGGGGTTATATTCAGAGCGCTGTCAGCGGCGTATTGTATGTCAAAAGCTGGAATGGAAACATTTTCAGACTCATTGAGATTAGAAATGGCACGCTTTGGTATTAAAGTCAGCATAGTTGAGCCAGGACATTATGGTCAATGTACTGCTATTGTCGCAAAAAATCTGGTAAGAATTTTCTTCCATAACTGAATGATTGTAATAACACTATATTATGATATAACAAAACATATTAAATAAGCGTTTTCAATATTCGTTGGAACAATAACAAAGGAAACTTGGTCCGAACTTTCCAAACCTACTAAAAACCCATAACCTTTGCAGAGTCGAGAGAAAATACTAAGGTAGATCTACCACCTTGTACCACATGGAGAAAATGAAAGTTCAGAATCACTATATCTCCTTTTCATTTCAGATAGATCATAACAAGAAAACGTTACACGAAGAATTTGAAAGCTCTCCTGAAGGCGTGAAATACACCTATTGTAAATATGATATAGATAGCATATTTGCTTCAGCAGATTTTTCACCCGAATATAAGGGTCCACGTAGCAGCCATGAAAATACTCTACCCGTTATAAATTGTATCGCCAATTGTTTGATCGACCCACTGCCAAGAGAAAGGTATATTGTTGGTGGTACAAGAGGATGGTATGATCCAAGAACGGTAAGAAGTGACATTGTTTGGGCCAGTTCGTGTTAAAGGGACAGTTTCGCCATTTTTTTAAGCAAACGTCTAAGAAATGGGATTTTCTTTAGCAAGCTAATCAGTGATCACAGCTCGCCATCGAAAATTGAGACTTCAAATTAATGTGTAATGTTATTTGAAGCACATCCAAAAATACATCGAATTACGACCAAAAAAAGTTTTTGAGCATATTTTATTCTTGATTCCTGAGGGAACAAATCAACATAAAATAACATAAACTCGTTTTTAACACATAACGTATGGTAACTTTCAACATTGGTCAGCACTGTTACTTGAGGACATATCTGTGAAACCATAATGTTGACTAATAATTTATTCCTTGTTCATTTCAGATCTGTTCTATCTTGAAACCAATTTTACCAGATAAGTATATGGACATGGTCATAAATTACTATTTTTAAATGGTTTCTGAATCATTTAAACGACAAGGATCCTGCTCCCTAGAACCAAAATCCCGAATGTTTGTAAGTGCCAAATAATGATTATTAAAACAAATATCTCTGTTAAAACTGTCGTTTATGTTTAAAAATATACCCTTTGCTATGGTTCACTATGGATGGAACAGAAAGTTCACTAATCATGTAACGGCACTGCAAAGTCACACCGATGTGCGGTCTGTCGTCTAAGTTTTTATCGTGGCCAGTTAACAGTTCCTCATTACTGCCAGAAATACAACTATAGTAATCAAGAGTTATGGTGTTTCAGACGTCATTGTTATAGATCTTCTTCTTGACATAGATCTTTTTCTTGTAGTTCATGTTCGAAAACAATTCGGACTTTCTTTCCGCTGTAAAACAATCATAAAATTCATTTTCGAAATACAGCAATAATTCACTTCACTTAAGAATGCCCAGCCATTAATGGAATTGCTGTGAACAGCAATCCATTCATCGACCGCTCTGTGGCTGCTTTTGATACAACTACAACCAATGTTAACCTATCATACAACATCAACGAGAAGACAAATAGCACCCAGTTATAGTATTTTTCAACCTCACCTGAAAAGTTGTTGAGCGTCTGAAATAGTTTCTGGAAGTTTTTGATTCAAAGTTTCAGGAAGATATAATGATAACAGTCCAGCACCAATTGTTGTTGAACCAAATATAATCAATGGTAAAGCTGTTTTTAAATCACCATCTACTAATAAACTCTGAAAAAATAAAACGTATTGGTTGACCTAAATAAAATATAACGCTAAAGGGACATTTTGATTTTTTTTTGCTCCCATTTATGAAAACTGTTTACAAAAATCTAGAGAAATTATAAAGTTTTGTACACTTACAATATCGGCTATATAAGGAGATAAAGCACCACCAATTTGACCACATGTACAACTTATACCCAGTAAAGAATTCCGCAATACAGTTGGAAATAACTCGGCAGAATAAATATAAATTATAGCAAATGCTCCGGAAGCTCCAAGTTTTCCTACCATGGATAATGTATTAGTTATCCATATACTTGTTTGAGCTAGAAAAATAACACCAGCAAGATTAGAAAACAAATTCTGTTAAGAATGGAAGTGGAAATCTGAAAGAGAAGTCTTCAGTGGCAAGATTAACCGTTCCTTAAGCATATTATCTATATAATATCCATATAATAAAGGAAAATGAACAGACATCGGATGGCGAAAAGGTTATCATTTCTGCCCGCTACGGCTTTAATAATGAAATAAATCATTTACCCATGCATCTAATATCAGTAAAAAATCACTGTAAAACGACTTCAAAAGACTGACTTATAATCATATCCTGAAAACAAAATGTGTCTTAAAACAGTACTTACATTCTTTGATAAAAATAATAGGAAAGATGGTTGCCAGGCAAGCGAATCCTCCCAATAACATGGCCGAACAATATAACTTTTTTCGTCCTATTCTATTCATTAATAACATACATATTACGTATGATATTAATTCAGATAAAGCAGATGTAGTCAAATTAAGGTAAACATTTCCACTTAAATTGGATACACTCAAAGATAATCCATAATAAGATCCGTTAATTACAGTCCTGAAAACGAAAGAAATGTTTGAAACGTTATAATAGCTGCCCTGGTACAAGAATATATCATAGAACATGATTGTTGAATTAAAAAAGTCGAATTGACGCTAATTAAAATGAAAATCCGATGCTTTTTCCGGTTGCAATTGCATAACGTGTCAGCAAAGTTATGACAATTTTGCGCAATAGTTAATGCAAAATTTAGAGCATAACATGCAGAATTTAAGACCTTGATTTACAAAATGGCCCCTCCCAATCTAAAGTTCTGCAGCCGGAACTGAGTAGGTGTGGTCTCCCAGAGTCAAAGCTACTGATAAAAAATGCTTACCAATTTAACACTACGATCAATGATCCTATTAAAAGTTTTGGAGAGGTGAACAATTTACTGAATTTGACACTCTCGACATTTTCTTCTTCTTCTAATTCTTCTGAGATCATTGGCGTTAACTTAGTTTTATTGACAATACCAGCTTGCCTTAAAATTAAGTCAGCTTCTTTAAACTTTCCTTTTGCAATGAGCCATCTTGGTGATTCAGGCATCAACCTAAAATAATTTACATGATCTTCACGATATACGTCATAACAATTCCATTCGCATCAAGAGACAACTCTACTGTATTTGTAACATCTAAGCTACGACTACAAGGGTATTAACCAAATCGATTCGAATCACTTAAGAAATTTTACGGCCATCACCATGAACTAATTATTGGTTTCGGATAAAAAGTACTTGGTTTATTTATTAGTACCCGAAGCAAAAGGCCTGTAATATTTTCTAACTACTTCTGCTATTTAGCGAATGACGATTCCTTTTTTTCTCAAACTGCTCTATTCAATTTAAGTAAAGAAGGAGATAAAATCTTTGCTTTTGAAAAAACCCGAATGTGTGTTATTCTAAGGCAGCTTCTTGCCTATAAGCAAATCACGTCTCTGTGTGTATTAGTAGTGTTGTTTTTTAACTGAAACAGTTGACCCAAAGAGCTGAATGTAATACAGAATGTAGAAGACCTAATTTTTAGATTTCTAAAATCAAAGTCACTCACCAATAATATGAGAGAAAGGCTACAGTAGGTACAGATACACTAAGTGATAAATATTTCCAGTCTCGGATGAAGTATGCTAACATAGCCAGTATGAACAGCCCTATTGCCCAAAATATCATATAACCCATACCACACAGAGTTCTTTTGGAAGGTCCTACGAATTCCATCCCTGAAGCAAATAAATGACCAGCAAATATAATCGTCAACGGGTCGTTTCAAGTAGCACAGCTTCTCTGTCTGAAGCACTTTATTATCAAATTGACAAAAAGAAATAACCGACTTCATGTCGGTTCTATCAATTTGTATGTACGCATGCCCACAATATTACATCAATTAATCACGATCTGGTCATCTGATTACCAAAAGCTTATCTCATGCTACCATTACATCTTTATGATACACAATTCTCATCGGGATGACTTGTGTGTGAAATGGGTGTTACCTTTCAAAAACGTCTGAGCAAAGTAAGTGGGAGGGTCAGAAAAAAGAAAATTGGTATATTGTATACCTAGAACAAAAGCTGTAATGAATACTCCGGTTCCAGACACTCCGCTTATCAATCTCATGATGAGAAACAAGATGTAAGATTCAGCTAACGCTGTACCAATACCACTAAGTATTAGCAGAATGATGGATAACATTAATGTTTTCTTTCTCCCAATTCTAAAAGTACAATTCAATGGAAATGGTTGAAAATCCTAAGATAAATCATTTATTCATGTCTCGATAACGACGTGAGAACCTCACTGAATCGTTGAAAGAAATACATATTCTAGAATTCCAAATTGTCTTTTTTAATGCTAAAGATACAATTGGATGGACTTGATTTTGGAAAATAATCATTTAGACTAATATACATTATAAGATTCAGTCATCTCTGACCTTGTGAATTTCCCAAATTCAGAGCGGTAACAGATCCGGCTAATCCTTTATTGACCATCGCCAATATGTCTAAATACAAATATAATATGATCATACTTACATATCAGAAAGTAAGCCCAATAATAGAGCGCTTACCAGTGACCCCCCAAAGACGACCATGTTACCATGTGTTCTGAAAATTTCATTTCCACAAACGTAGTCCATCTGGAATATAAAAAAAAACAGTTAACTAGTACAATTCTTGCGTCTTAAGTTGTATCTGAGAAATTCAAAGAATGTCAATGTTTTTTTTTTTATTCAAAGCTTTTAAAGGAGCAAATGGTAGCATTTGAGAAAATCCGATCAGCACCGAGCGTTTCGCTCACGTCGACAATGACAGATCCAATGATGTCGAAAACTATTCTTTCCGAAACACCTGATGGTACTTCTCTTTGGATGAGTATACTGCTCCACAACTTTTACTCCCGATTTTGCCATTCATTGGACGAGATTTTTGATTGGCGGAATTGTCTCGCTTTTACTGATTTTTATTGAAACATAAAGTAGTTCTACTTACATATGACGAAAATGTAGATGTGTATACCGATGTATCATATACCCACATATTACATTCTGTTTGACTTTCATTAACTATTATTTTACACGACGACAACTTGGGTATCGACTGATTAATTTGCGCTGCATGCCAGGAATCTTGAACCATATAAGTATCATTAGGAAATGTTGGTATAGCACACCTTGGAAATAGAAAATAATGGCACTTTTACGTTTATTTGTACATTTTAAATGGTTTATATTTCGCGATGAAATACGTGTTTCACGTGATAGGTTTTGTTTGTTCTTCCAAACCCGCCCAAATAAAAGGAAACTTTGTATGTGTATCGGAAACACTGGTAGCATAAATTTGCACCATTTCAACTTTCATTTCGACGTCTGTGGTTCTTGCAATTCCACTAAAACTAAGGCGTTTTATGACGTCACTAGAGGGGAACTACATAGATATCAATAGTAGCTTCCGGTAGTCCCCCCCCCCCCCATAATTGATGCTATGAGTGTCCACGATATAAAAAAAATTTATTTACTATCACTTTGAGTGGCTTTCTGTTAGTGTATAGTTTGTCATTAAACATGTGTTAACATTAACATGCGTGTTGACAAAATTGGAATCATACAACGAACTGCCTATTTCGTTAATTTCATGTCTTAAAGAGTAAGTGTATATTCACAAGAGTGTGACCGTGACGATCGATATTTCGTAACAGCACATCAGCTGGTATCTGCACAGTCATTATGTATATAAGCAGCAACAGCAGGACTACGAAATATTAAACAAACAAAAAGACAATGTAAATGTCAGCCTGGAGCGTATTCTATTTAAATTTTACCTACCTGTGGTCGGGTATAGCTAGAATTAATACTCCTAAGAATGTCTGAATAGCTGTTGGGATGTACAGTAGTGCAATTAAAAGAGAAATACGCTTTTGATATTTCCCGAATTCGCCCAATATGTTTAGTAGGTCATCATATTTCATGGTTAAGTCGTAATTATGGGTCTGTCAAAGTAAACGTGTTTTGATCACTTCCTTAGATTGTTGACCTGGATATTATGAATGAGTTATCGAAAAGTAGATTTACCCTCTACACATATATCGGTCAACATAACACTCACGAAATAATATATTCCATCAACATGGACCCTTCTTACACATAGTCTAGTCTACACTAAAGGTACGGTGTCCGGTGAGGTGTACCGTGTGGAATAATCGATACAAACGAAAATATAAGAACACACGAGGTACGGGTGCGGACACGGTGCGGGCATGATTCGTTCCTTCTATTGTCTACTGTATCGATAATCCCGCACCGTACACCGAACCGGACACCGAACCTCGCCTATTCGCATAAACATGTACGAATTTATTGTATCCCGCGCTCATGATTCAAGGTTATAATCATCCATAAATATGAATGGTTAAGATTTTTTTTTTCGAGCAATTAAATTCAATGCACAAAAATATGCGCTCAGTTGAGATCACCAGAATTTAATAGCTATCCTATACTCCATTATGTAAATTGCATACTGACAAAGGTAACGCGAAACGTCAATTTGAATTTGAAATATAAAAGATAACAAAGCTCGATTCACTTAAATTAAATGATAATGGCACTTCAAAAGTGATATCCATTTTTCAAAATTTCTCCTCGATTGTTTATTATGTAGATGATTGGGAACTTAGTCCATCAAGGCAACTACCACATACCATGAACAATTTGCGATAGTATTAAGATTCTGGGGATCAGATTTTATATTTTAAAATGGATATTGCATTGGTTACTGGCAATTTGAATGCCATAAAAGTAGCAAACAGGATCACTGAGTGGTTTTGTGAAATGTAAACTAACAAACTTAAAGGGACATTCCGCTTTTTTGTAAAACATTTTCATCATCAGAAACGTCGTAGATTATACCTGATATTCATATCTATTTGAGAGTACTAAGTGTTAATTAAGCAGTTTGACTTTGCGTTGGTGATTGCCCTTATAATGGCTCGTTATATTTAGATATATTTCTCTACAATTAGGCGTTTATGGTACTCAAATCTGTACTGTAATTTTCTAACATCTTGCAAAAAGCATAACGAACTTTAAAAAGTTACATAACCATTTACGTAAAGTTTTGGCGATTTTTAGGTAAAACTTTCAGATACGTTAGTGATACATTTCTATAGATTTTGGTATATAGTTTTCACAAATTGGAGCAAAAAAAATTTCGACCTACAAAAAAGCGGAATGTCCCTTTAACATAACTTGTCGATCACTAAAACCACATAATACGAACCATTATAAGTGTATGATAAGTGCTATTGTAGCTTTATGTGTAACGATGGATGGTATTATGTACTTTTAAGGGGCATTTTGACATTTTATGCAGGATAGAAATGTTTATAGAAAAGTTCATAGAAAAGCTCAAAATAATGAAAACTGTATGTTCACCAAAGTGTATCTGATACACATACAAAATTTAGAAAACTTCTTTACAATCCCTTTTACGATAAGTACACTCCGTTTTGCATCACAAAAGGCGTCTGAATTAAAATTGAATGGTTCCAATGGATGCTATCAGTGTCCCCGATACACATAAAATTTTTAAAAAAACCTTTTTAAGACCAATTTATCAAGTAGATATATAGAAGTAAATTAATTTTTTGCACACTACCCCTTTAAATGATTAAAATATTCACTGTATACACTAGGACTCATTATGACCAACGAACTAAATAATAGTAATGTCACACCGAGCATGTAATTAAGCTTAAAATTATTCATTCCGTCGATCGAAATGTTCTATATTATTTTAACATGTTTCGAACAACAGATATTCTTCTACATCGGTCGACTGCATAAATTGCTCTGTCTGTCTTCACGTCTGCACAGTGCCAATACGAAACTGATTAACTAGCTAACAGATAGATATGAGCACCCTTGTTATCAAATGTAAGAAATTGCCATTGCTCTTGTATTTATCGACTTAACATGTAAATACAATGCACGCTCAAAGAAACAGTGTTTGTTATTGTAGCAATTTGGATGAGATGAGAATGAAACATATATCTGTAGGTTTTAAAATCCATTTTCGATTTTTAGGTGCGCATCTTATTATTGGAATAAGAGCTATCAACAATTAGTGTGTCAGCATGTCAATGGTTTGAATCGACAACGAAAATGCCCAGATGTCTATAAGCAAAAGCGAAAACCAGAACTCGGAAACTGAAACTATCCAGCCGATCGGGACCATAAGAAAACTAATTTTCGAAATTCTAAGTTAGGCACTATTCCACCATAAGTTTGTACATTTTGGGACAGTCAAAGCCTTCTTTCCCCGAAATCAAAATAAAACGATATAGTGTTCTATATTCTATACTTTTATATACAAATGTTACCCAGATAGTTATCTATATAATTGCGCGAATGATAATATCTTTACGCATTGTGCGGAACGTCATCATGGTTTAAAGGTTTAAGTTCTGTTATTTCATATTCGTGCTTGTTATTCTTCGATTTACGCCTGAAAAGTAAAACACAATATTGTAATATGGAAATATTGCTAATTTTGCAAGCCAATAGAAAAATAACTAATAGTGTAAAACACCCCTTTTATAAACGTTACAATATATAGGCCTATTTACACTATTTGCAGTCATCGGAAACAAGATACGCAGGAGTGGTGACCCGTCCTAAAAACTGAAATCCAAAGTGAGCACACAATAGTGGTTTACTGTGAAATCTAGGATAATCATCCGGGGATGGTTAACAGTTGGCGACTTACAAGTATACTACAGTACCTCCGAACATGATGATACTTTCAAACAGGAAACCCCATTGAACAGCAGACAATGTCAATCTTTAGCTGTAGCGCTTCTGACTTTTTGATGATAGGAATATGTTTTCTATAAATCAAGATTATAACGTTATGCAGAAATGAGCACCCTTGTTATCAAATGTAAGAAATTGCCATTGCTCTTGTATTTATCGACTTAACATGTAAATACAATGCACGCTCAAAGAAACAGTGTTTGTTATTGTAGCAATTTGGATGAGATGAGAATGGAACATATATCTGTAGGTTTTAAAATCCATTTTCGATTTTTAGGGGCGCATCTTATTATTGGAATAAGAGCTATCAACAATTAGTGTGTCAGAGTGTCAATGGTTTGAATCGACAACGAAAATGCCCAAATGTCTATAAGCAAAAGCGAAAACCAGAACTCGGAAACTGAAACTATTCAGCCGATCGGGACCATAAGAAAACTAATTTTCGAAATTCTAAGTTAGGCACTATTCCACCATAAGTTTGTACATTTTGGGACAGTCAAAGCCTTCTTTCCCCGAAATCAAAATAAAACGATATAGTGTTCTATATTCTATACTTTTATATACAAATGTTACCCAGATAGTTATCTATATAATTGCGCGAATGATAATATCTTTACGCATTGTGCGGAACGTCATCATGGTTTAAAGGTTTAAGTTCTGTTATTTCATATTCGTGCTTGTTATTCTTCGATTTACGCCTGAAAAGTAAAACACAATATTGTTATATGGAAATATTGCTAATTTTGCAAGCCAATAGAAAAATAACTAATAGTGTAAAACACCCCTTTTATAAACGTTACAATATATAGGCCTATTTACACTATTTGCAGTCATCGGAAACAAGATACGCAGGAGTGGTGACCCGTCCTAAAAACTGAAATCCAAAGTGAGCACACAATAGTGGTTTACTGTGAAATCTAGGATAATAATCCGGGGATGTTTAACAGTTGGCGACTTACAAGTATACTACAGTACCTCCGAACATGATGATACTTTCCAACAGGAAACCCCATTGAACAGCAGACAATGTCAATCTTTAGCTGTAGCGCTTCTGACTTTTTGATGATAGGAATATGTTTTCTATAAATCAAGATTATAACGTTATGCAGAAATGTCTTTTACTTACTTATAAAGTTGTTGAGCGTCTGAAATAGTTTCTGGAAGTTTTTGATTCAAAGTTTCAGGAAGATATAATGATAACAGTCCAGCACCAATTGTTGTTGAACCAAATATAATCAATGGTAAAGCTGTTTTTAAATCACCATCTACTAATAAACTCTGAAAAGGGAGATAACAAGACTAATAAATAAAATAAGATTATTTCGCCATTGATCAAGGTTCATAATACTCTTAAATATGCAAGAAAAGATAAACAAATTCAAGACGCTTGAATAATGCGCTCTTCTCTCCAATGATCAGAGCTTGAAAATACTGAATCGGCTTCGACCTTCTTTTGTAGAATATTCAAAACTTACCAAATCGGCAATGTAAGGACAAATCATAGCACCAAGCTGTGAGAATAAGGAAGCTGTTCCCATCAAAGAATTTCTCAAAAGAGTTGGAAATAATTCAGCAGCAAATACATATATAACAGAAAAAGCACCAGAGGCACCAAGCCTACCAATTGTAGACAATATCAAATTTATCCACGTTTGAGCTTAAAAATCAAATAAAAAAACAAACTATTTGACAGAACTATAAGGACGAAACTTTTTTGTTTATCGAAGGGCACCGATGGAGAAGATTAGGAAGCCTCTTTGGAAAACAGCGTTTTGAAAGATTCAATGAAGTTGAAGATCTATCGAAAATGGACTTAAAATTAGTTGGAAACAGATGGCAAAGAACAAGACTTACATTCATCTCCATATATGACAGGAAACATGGTGGCCAAACAGGCAATACCACCCAATAACATAGCACCACAATGTACCATTTTTCTTCCTATTCTATCCAGTAAAAATAAACAGATAATATAGGCAATTAATTCTGCTATATTAGCTATGGTAAAGTTCAGGTATGTATTACCACTAAAGTTAGTTACACTTAGTAACAAGCCATAATACGCCATGCTCACTACGAACCTGAAAAGAGAACTTGTATTTAATTTGACGGTTTATTGAATATCCAACCAAAGTTAGTTTTATAAACAATGCTAAGTAGAAACGATATATCTTTTTATTGAGGTTCGGACCAGAGTCCTGCAAATTTCTGTTGCAGATATATTAGGTGTTTCAACCAAGTCTCCGAAACAGAGGAACTGATATTGCATTAGCGTCTACTCAAATTGATCAAATACAGAGGCACATGTGCCTGTGCAATCAAAAGATTCCGTTGATATCGCAAAAGAAACGTCCAAATCGGACATAGTTACCCGTCATTATCCGGTTCACCTTAAGCAGTGGAAGAGCTGCATTGATCAAGTCTTACCAGTTTAAGAAGATAATGAAGGTACCAAGAACTAAAACGGGACTAGTTAATAGATGTTTAAATTTAGCTGTTTCTACTTCTAATTCAAGAGACTGTCGTCTGAATAACCGATCTGGAAGTTTCACTTTATTTACTTTAGCTGCTTTTCGAAGGATGACTTCTGCTTCGTTATATTTTCCTTTTGATATCAGCCATCTTGGTGATTCTGGTATCAGCCTGATCAAAAATACAAATTGTCCAATGTTATTATCCAATCTTGCAAATCAAGACCCGTTCACTTTTTGTAAAACCAGCAAGGCCCAATGGTTCATTTGTCATTCTGACACTTAATTGAATCGTTACTTCACTCTTATATTAGCTATCCAGATAAACACGCTCCAACTGTTTGAGACCGCCGGTCATGTAAAATACTCGAACGTCCTTCATGATAGCCTAGAACTTTTAAAAGTTCCTATTTGTATCATGAGGACATGGCTCCATGCCATATGGAGAACAGGAATTTTAGGTTGTAACATTGCGGTCAACTAATGTTACTAAAGATTGTAAGTAACAAGTTATTATTCAACTGAAGGTACTGGCTCAGGTTTAAAGTAATGTTTACAAGTGTTTTGATGCTAATATTTAGTAAACAAAAGCAATCTTAATGGGTTAATATACACTTTCAAATCTAAGACCTAAAATGAGGAAATTCATACTGACCACCAATAAGGAAAAAAGACAACTGTAGGAACTGAAAGGACTAATGATAAATGTCTCCAGTCTCGTACTAGGTAAGCCATGAGACCAAGTAATAATAAACCTATAGCCCAAAATATCATCACTACCATGCCAGTAATGGTTCTTTTAGTTGGCCCTACCAACTCTACACCTGTTAAATTAGAAACATCATATTATACAATTGATGAAATTTTCAATTGAGCGACGGGGATAAGTTTTACATGTCAGCTGGTCAACAGCAGTGACAGTAGATTTATAGTTTTTATGAGGTACTGAAGTAAGATTCAATGTAAAACAAACATTCTGATTCATTGTGGTACAATGAGTATGCAAAACTTATGCACTACTGTTAACATCTGAAACCCGAATCTGATTTGATAATTACAATTTTGCTAGGTGAAGATGTCTCATATTTTGAAACCCAACATAAACTTTTTCATCAGGATTACTGCAAAATATCTGCAAGCTATTTCAGAATAAATTAGTTAACATCTGGTTACCTATAACAAAGGAAATGACGAACACGCCGGATCCAGCGAATCCATTGATAAATCTAACGATGGTAAAACTGATAAATTCATTCAAAAAAGCTGTTATTATTCCTGTCACTGTTTGGACAGCAACAGATAGCATTAAAGCTTTATGACGTCCAATTCTGAAAATTTAAAAAAGTTATCATTTCAGAGGTGGTAGCAATTTTTCTCTCTCAATCGCAGACACAACGTTCATATGGAACAACATAGTCATGCTAACAAGGACAAACAAGTTATAATTTAATGCTTTTGCGACTAAACATTTTGAATAAGATCCATATCGCTCTTTCACGAACATAATCGTATAGGGTTTACTTACATGTCAGCCAGAAATCCCATGACAAAAGATCCTATGGTGTAACCCCCAAACACTATCATATTGGCGTGCGATCTAAATATCTCTTTACCACATACAAAATTCATCTGGAAAGAGCGAGTATTGCAAACGTCAATAGTTACTATTCTTTATCAGGAATGTCATTTGGTTTCAAAAACAATTTTTTTAGCATTACTCTGAGGGCAATGGAACGTATGAATTTTCCTAGTCCAGATTCAAATGCAATGTTTCTAGGTTTAAATTAATCATAATCAAATCCAGTTCCATGGTAATCCTTTTCCTTAAGAAATTCCATAATCATATAATCAATATTATGCCAAATATACAATATTAGCTATTCGGACTCTCCAACAGAAGTACCGAGTTGCAGAGAGCAACCATATGGAAGGATGGCGTATCTTGCCTCGTCAGGAACACCCTCCATGGTAGTAATGTTAGTGGATCTAGTATTGGACAAAAATAACCTGGGGGGGGGGGGGGGGGGGGCAGTTTTGTACACCTGCAGAGTTATCGGCCTATTAGCATGGGTCACAGTTGTGTTCCTAGGTTCATCAGCTTGCGGGTGTCCATTTAGTGATTACCAATCAATACAAACTCACTTCGGTAAGAAAAGTTGATGGATAATCAGTTTGATCATAGACCCATTTACTACAACGTATTTCTTCTGAGCTGTTCTCGTGGTAAAACGTACATTTAGATTGCTCCCCATCTGGTTTAAGTGGTATAGAATTATTGACTATGTCACGATGCCAATCCCCTTGTAGTTGGTACGTGTCATTTGGAAGTGATGGAATAGCACATCTGGAATAGAAATTAACTGCTTTAAGTTATTGCTTACGGCAGACGAAGAAGATTGGTGATTTCAATGAAATTTTCCAACAAGTATAAGTTTTCCATCTGCTTTCAAACGCATATTTGTTCTGGCGGTTCCTATTGCAAACGGTCGATTTGGTGGTAAAGATATCACGGAATTACATTTCCAACAAAATTTTAACATGCAGGCGATTTCCCTTACAAACGGTTTCAAACAATGACTTCTGAATGTAATGTTCTTTCCACAGACGAGCAAGATTTGTGGTAATGGTGACGTGAAAGAACATTTTCTAACAAAATACCACAAGTAATATAAATTGAAATTGGAATTGTACTTAATTCTTTCGTTATTTCAATTATATTTTGTATTTACAACCACCCTTACCCAATATATAAGGGTTGACAACTCCAGATATGGTTTAGATCTGTCTAAGAATGCAGGGATTATGTAGTAAGTGTCAAATGGACTATTTGCATTTGTCATTGATGAAGATCGTAACACAGACACAGTACCTGCGTCTAGTCGTTTGGATAACCTGGAATCGAACCAACGTGTCCTAACAGAATTTCCCATTACAACAATTCATTGTGTTGCCCGTCTGACATAGCCTGGCCAGTTACAGAAAACGGGAGTACATTTCATTTGATGTTTATCTCTATATCATTTAATATGAGGTTAATATTAATTGAGGTACAAAGTCAAGTGTTCGGCTCTTCAATGTTTATCTTCTTCAAAGTAGATGGACTTTGTTTATTATTTTTCGATTTATCAATCTTGAGATGGCCTTCATACTAGATAGACTTAGCTGTATCATTACACAGTCTCGTAGATAGTGTCTGCAAGTGATCCTTGGTCAATGCGTATACTTTGAACCTATCAGGTTAATCTTAAATGGCCTAAGCTTCTGCTAAATATTTGCTTCACCAGCTGGTAGAATTTATTTAAAGGGACATTCCGCTTTTTGTAAAATGTTTTCATTATCAAAAACGTTGTATAGTATACCTATTTCTAATATAAGCTATTTAGATCTGTGTATCTTCTTGAGCAAACTGAATTTGTCAATTAAAAACGGGTGGTACTAATTATTGTTAATTAAGCAGTTTGAACTAATTTTGATGTTTGGCTTTTTAATGGCTAGTTATATTTAATTAAAACCTTTAGAATACGTAGAGAGATATTTATCTACACTTAGGAAATATTAGGAATAACGAACTTTAAAACCTTACGTAGTGTTTTTAAACATTTTTGGCGTTTAAAAAATTAACGGTTTGAATTTTTTTAGTTAAAACTTTCAGATACGTTAAAGGTCACATTTCTCTAGTTTTCAAAAATTTGAGCAAAACAAAATTCGACCTACTAAAAAACGGAATGTCCCTTTAATATTCCATTAAACAAAAGCGTAATGTGGAGATTTTCTTGGACTGTCTAGGAACTCGGCATTTGACAACTCCCTTTTAAAAACCAATTATATTTTTCAAGGTAATTTTATTATCTAAATGAGATCTCCGATAAAAATAGCAAGTAGATATCAGGTGTTCCAGAAAGGGTTAGCAACTATTGTATTCCAACTCAGCCACAGTCACAGTAAAGTCTGGTCATGTACCAAATAAGTATAAAACAAGAAAAGTACGAATTATAATCTTTTTACAATATGAAATTGCACAAATATTTTTTGAACTTACGTTACGTTAAAAGTTTATAGTTCTGGTGATGTAATGCTGTATTATAATGGACCAGACTATTTTGATCATTTTTGGCAAATGAATGGGTATATCCACTTTCTTATAGTTTCTTAGCCCGAATAAGTGCAGCAAAGTATAACGTTAAACTGCATTCCATTTTATTTCATTTCATTTGATGATGACCAACACAAAACTAGGCATAAGTTTGTACATATGATTCCACTGTTTGATCAAACACACGCCACAAGCTTGTATTATAGGAATCTGCTGGAGACACGAAATGAACGTACCTGTGATTTGGAATAGCTAAGATGAAAACTGGTAAAAGTGCTTGGAATGCTGCAGGAATGGACAATAAACATACCATAAAATACAACCGCTTCTGGTACAAACCAAATTCCCCCAGATACTCCAATAAATCGTCAAATTTCATGTTTTGATTATAAAAAAGAAACCTTCTACCACAGCATAGATAGAGAATGATGATAAACTCTTATTGACGATATAATGTCAATAGTTTGTGTTATCAACATATTAGTAAGATTTATGGTCGGGTGAATGACTTTTTGAAAAATGCCCACTAAACATTAGTCAAACTCCAAATAGTCTTCTCAGTTTGCTCAAGGCGATCACTTCACTTCATTCGCATGACATGGGATTATTCAAATTGAGTTGACTTTAAAAGTGGACATGCGCCCCTTCCTATATTCGTTCAATCATGTAATAAGTTTACCATACAAATATGTTTACTTCTAACGTATGAATTTCACAGACAAATTTTATTGCGTAATAGCCTTAGGGACAAAATTTTATTGACAATAAATAAATATACAAAAAAGAATATTATAATATATATAGACTTTCGGGTATGATTATATAACGTTACTTTTCCATTTTTTTCAACGTTGCAGTATCGTATTCAGTCAGTGTATGGCATGAAACGGATAATGATACTTTGAAGGAGTTTATATTGGACCCGCTAACAGTCCGAGTTCTGGGCTTTTTGAAATTGGTGACGAGAAGGCTTTGGCTAAGGATGATATGAGAGAGAAGGGGTTGATGGAAAGTCAGAAAAAAAATACCCATAAAATTCTCTACCTATGTTGCATCAGTTATAATGTAATGATTTTTGAAGGTGGGTATTCTCAAGAAAAGTGGCTTGCATATCTACCACAATATGTAAATCGTTTCAGGATTGATTTTTTTTCATATAAAAAAATGTTTGAATGTTTTCCCTACTGTTCGTTGATATTAAGCGTTTAGGTCCATGTAATACAAGTCTTGAATTGACACGTTAAGGGAGATAACTCTTACAAACGCAGATGAAAAATTCTTCGTTGGCAGACATAAAAAATTCGAATGGGATGATGACCTGTCGACATATTTTATCAACAGAAAACATTATAATTTCCATATATATCAATAATATCCAGGTACATGTACCCAACATAACAGGTCCACGTATATCGGTATAAGTGCTGCTTCGAAATTTTTCTAGTAGTGTTGACAACTCAAGCAATATAAATCTTGGTAATATAGCTCAGGATCTCATTACGTATATATTGTTCTCCCACTTGAAATATTTAAGCTATCAAAACAAACCACATGCAATATATAGCTTGATAATATAGCTCAGGATCCCATTATGTACATGTTTTTCTGCCACTTGGAATGTATAAGCTATCAAACATAACACATGCAGCGTACTGAAGCCGTCTTGGTCCATTTCCTTTTTCTGGCGTATGCAGATATTACTGGTCGCTCCAGTGACTCTACTGTGCTGTTTAAGGCTTGTGCTACAGTATTTGTTGTGCATCTATGAACATATTTTCATGTATTTCCAGATTGTTCCGATAACGAAATAGAAATCACATCCAATTTCACAGTCGTGTCAGTTTAGTTGGCTGAATATCATGTCTGAAATGAAAGAAAATAGTTTGAAATACGTGTACACTACTACGAAGATGATTTCATTTGATGGATTGACGGCGACCGAATCGAGAATAACCTTCTGAACAAGTTATGATATCCTCTGTTTCTTTCAGTTACAATAGTCGTTTAAAAACTCTCCAAATAGTATCAATTTTGAGCATGTCTTGCCAAATCAAACCAAACCAAACTGATGGGAAGTCCTCTTGAGTATGCTAAAATGAATTACTATTTTTCCAAAAAGCTTACCTGTAGACTTGACCTTCTTGTTGACTTCTTTCCCTAAAAACAGAACATGGATATTAATTTCTTAATTTCTTAACTTTAGGTTCAAATTTTTATAAAACAGACATGACAATGGAAAAAGGAATCGACTTCCGATACAATCAGTGTTCAAACATTTTTTTCTCAAAATTATACCTACTTACCAATCGCGTCTCATTGGTGGTTCATGAGAATACCATTCACTACTTTTCTGTTTATCTGGCATACTTCTGTTTTCTGAAGCATGGGCTACGTAGCTTAAACTGAAAAAAAAAAAACCCGGTATATAATGTCGTATTTGTTGACTGATTTAAATTGTGTTTTTATGGTCATTAAGTATTAACAATATATTCCACCGAAGGCGATGGACGCATGTTGAGGTTCCTGGTATGTTTTTACTGAATTATTAACCCGATCATTTACCTTTCATCGTTGTGTGCAAATGGGTCGAATGTCTGGTCCCAGTTCTGCCTGTATGCTTCTCCGAAATTAGCTGGTTCTAACCTACGAAAATATGATACCATAAAAAATAAAGAGGAATTCGGAAAGCTGGTTTTGAATGTGTTTGTTTTTACCAGGATTTTTAGATTGACCTCTCCTTACATAACAAACGTTACCTGTTCATCATATCATACCCTAAGATTGGACGAGGGTCAGAAGCCACATCAAGGTGTTTTTCCACCATGACACAGTTAGTGGTATATCATATGTAGGCTGGACAAATGTAACTCTATAAATACTTACGAATTGGACGAGATAACAGATATCAGATCATCATTCAGTTTGTCGGCTTCTGGGTTATTTTCTGTTTTAGGGTTATTCCTGAAAAAAGGTACTTTTTTGTAGTTAACAAATATTATTGGTTTTCGGGACAAATAGTATATGAAATTCAAAGAGATGGAGTTTTCCATCAATATAATATGTTGATAAAATGCAAAATAAAACAGTAGAACTCACTGTGGATTTGGAAGGTACATCGGATAGGCAATTTTATGTGGTCGAATATTTCCGTAAGATGAGTTTCTAGGAACGTAGTTTCCAGAATCTGAAGCAAAAGTAGTCTTTGTTCTGTCACTTCCGCTATCCGACCATTCACCATTACGACTGGAAGTTCGAGATGATCGGGACATCATAGATGATGGTGTTCCTGGTGCCAATAAATTCCTGAAAACAATCCAAATTATTCAATCTATCTAGTCACAATAAATAACATAGTAAGTAAGGAGCTAATTAAGCGCTTATCTAAGGGTAGGGATAGTACTTTTGTGGTCAGATTTGTCTTACAAGTAATAGAGGTAAGAGGGGCTTACATCATAGAGGCGTCTGTGCAACTTTGGGATCTCTTGACAATAAGCTAATCGGGCAGTCGAAACATGGCGCATAAACAGGCTAACTGGAACCAGTTTATCTACTAATAATCTTAACGGATCATCCTCATAATAGTTTTTTTTAGGTTTGTAAAACATTTCTGTTTCCTTTGTTATTAGTATTACAATTAAAATGAAACACGTCACATTTAATTAGGTAGATTATACAATGACGTCAATACAGACGACATAGATATATTTTTAACGACATACTTTTACGATTTAACTTTATGTTTCATCATTTGTCATCATCCAACAAGACGCCTCCAGGCCATTTTATCATTTACCTAGTACACTTGATAATCCTGTTTACATCTATCGCGTGGTCAAAACATTCACTTAACCTTAAGTATTCTTTCTAAGTATTTCTGTCATTAAGGGATGACAATATTGGACTATAAAGTACCCTAGAAACACTTTTTTCATGTTTTATTCTAGAAAGAGTTCTAGCTTCTCTTCTTTATCGCAAATCCCATTCATGTTAGAAGCTCAATTAGGGACTGTTAAAGACTGGCACCTACAGAAATTACACTATAGTGTTATTAGTTAGTGTTATCACAACCTAAAGAACCAGAATTGCCCCTAAATTTGACTCACTTGATAGGAATAGAAGGCCACAGAGAACATCATAAAATAGTCTAGGTCAATCTGTTACCATGCAGCTATTTTTTTTTCTTAGAAAATCACTTCAGGGAAACAAAGAGACAAGCTGAACAGTTTATATCATTTGAAAGAAATTTGGGAATTATATTTTGCAATGGGTGTATTTCCAGATCATAGCAGATTCAAAGCGAAAAAAAAATACTAAGACACAGTCAACGAGATTCACCAAACAACTGAACTGTACTTAATTAAAGGAACACCGTAATCCGTATTATAATATTCCCGAGGTTCAAGGATAATAAGTAATATTAAATCCTTGATAAGTAAACGATAAAATTGCTCTTATCTTATTAAGTAAACAATGGTCCTTAAAAAAAGTTTCACAATAATTGCTATGATGAAGAGAAAGTCCATCGTTCATAATAATCATATACTTACTTGTTTTTCTCCACTTTAATACCATCTTTCAGCATCCGCTTCTTTTTGTACGATTCTCTGACCAATGGCATGATCATACGTAGCAAGATGGCTCCCACGGCCAAAATGGCTACGGTAATACCGGCACCAATTACCACTAATTCAGCTGTGGTGACTTCAGTATCAAATAAACTTGTCTCATCATCCGCCCCAGGCAAACTGGTGATGGTAGTTATGTTAAACTGGCTTGTCAAGTTCATTTTTGATCAATTATAACCTTTTAGATGACTGAAAATAATATCAAAGAAATTATTTTTGATAATAATCTTCATAAATCAGAGTACATAGCAAATTATGGTCATGGAAACATGGTTAAAGTTTCCGATGGTTATTCAGAAATGTATATTAAAATGAAAGTTCTATTATGCCTACATAATAGATTTATATTTGCAGGAAGTATATTGTGCTATATCTAAACGGAATAAAACGTCCTTTTTAACCATGGGCAACTGTATATGAATTAAATGACAAAATGAAATTCGGCAACAGTGCAATACTGACTATATACCATTACATTTACAAGGAAAGGTAACATTAAACGATTGACCCATTTAAACCACAACCCACACACGCAACACGTTTCAGGGTAAACATAACAGAATTTACAAAACCAAAATTTAACAAGAACACACAAAGTATTGGTTTTTAGATCAATGCAGGGCTCCATATCCAGCTATGATTAATCATGCATTTAGAGTCCAAAACCTCAACAACAAAGCAAAATCCAAACATCATTTTCAATCAACGGCTTACCGATTAAGCCATGCCTATCATGTTTAACAATAAACTGGTTATAGCATAAGACTCTTTTTAAAAAAACACAAAAAAACAAAATGATAACATCATAAAAAAGACCTTGGGACAAATCGTTTGAGAATATTTCAAATTGCATTTTTATGTCTGTTCAAAATGCTATGGGCTATGTTCAGTATATTTCGTTCTCATTTCGCTTTGTCTATAACTCAGAATAAATATATTTTTCCAGTAGAGAAGATGTCTTTGCTGAGAAAGACGTTAAATCTTATTGATAAACATTCTATACCAGCTAATATTATCTCTGATGATTTAGAATTTCAAATTGTATTGCGGTTGAATAGAATTATGATGTTTCACACAAAACAAGTTATTCAATAGGCGTCATCTCATTAATCTCACTAACGTAACAAGCATTGTTTGAATCGTAACATAAATAGACAACAAAATAAATATTAACAGTGTAAAGTTAAGTGGAATTTTATAGGACTACGGTGACATAGAAGGGTACTTAATGGTGCGTGTCAAATTTTCTAATCAGAGTAACGAAAAATCAATAAATCAAAAGTATCCTTCGATAACATTTCGCGTTTTTCTTTCTTTTTCGACCTTTTTGATTATTTTTCATGTGCCTCTCTTTACATCTGACAAATTATTTTCCAATAGTTACAGGTGTTCCAGTCTGTGTCCATACATTTAATCGAAATTGCAAACCAATGTCCATATCCAAACTAGCGCTATAATCATTCCATGCAAAATCAATCAAAGTAACATGTACTTTGTATACAATAGCATGGCATAAGACAAGGTTCCGCCATTTATCATGCTTTATACTATGACGTTATAAACGAACTTAAATGACCATTCAAAAAGTATGAGGGAAAAGCTTGCAAGGAACACATAGACATATCTCTGTATGCACACGATGCTCTGGAAAAGCTATAGGGAATGGACGGATAAAATAGTGAAACATTCCACCAAAAAAAATCCGGTATTGTTGAAAATACTTACTCACTGAAAACTGAAACTAAGCTTAAGTTAAAAATAATCCCCCAATATACCCATATCACCTAGGTTCTAGTGTCGATTTATGAAATTATTTCATTTAATCCATTATATAAATGTGGCGGATTATTATTGTTGTTCCTTCCGCTTTACTTTCAGGGCGTATTTATTAGCCCTTTGAATGCAATCATGGAGCGACTAAATTTCAAAACAAATAAAATTCGAAAATATGCTAATGGTATGATTCGAATTTCGGGATGGGAAGAGTTGAGCATAAGAAACTGATTGATGTTAAATCAAAACGTGATAGAAGGTCAAAAATTTCGGTTGAACATGTCAGAATCGAAGTACGTGAACATCGTCGTAATAATATTAATTTGTTAAAAAAAATGAATAGGATGGGTGAGAAATTGATGATTTTTGTATATAATTCGTCTAATCTGAAAATAACGTAATTTGTTTCATGCTTAGTAGATGCCATTGTCTTAAACGGTTCAATTTCGAGATTCTATAGATTGTACATAGATCAGTTGGGCGGATATTTAATCCTGTTTAAATAAGCTGGGCTTAAATAAAACTTTAATGAATGCCAGGAACAAATTATTTAAATACTTGTAGATTTTGTGATAAAACAGAAAACGTAGTCTCTACGATTAAATTCAATTTGCACATTTTGGGAACATGTTAAGATAGATATTTTATCTGTTTTTCTTTGATTTGAAAAGCAAAAGAATAATACTCAAAGAATGATGAATAGAAAAAAACAATTCGAAGGTGTTACCGATCATCAACAGTTTGCTTTTTGTCTACAAAAGAACAGAAACTGACAACGCCTCCGTAACAAAAGAAAAACTAAAACTTATCTGTTATTATAGCTTAGTTTTCTTTCAACAATGTATTGGCCAAGTCTCAATTCAATTTTTTGGACTATTATGAATTATACAGACCTTTTTTGAAAGCCTAATCCGAATTAATCGAGTCCAAAGCACTTGAACTTCGTGAAGCCGTGGAACAAATTAGCACTTTATCTTTGATTTCGGCACATTATCACGAAACTGAGCTTGCAGGGATAAATCGTTTTAATATGTGGTTGTGTTCTATCGACACACCGTTTTTAAAGTCCAGAATGAAGAATTCAAACATAAGAATATTTTGGGAACATTGACCAGATCTTAGCAAAGAATTAGAGACTTTTTAACCCGACGTATCACAATTCATTGATCATCAAGTATAAACAAACACCACCAAGCCTCTGTCAAATGAAACTGGAGTTGTGATTATCGACACAAGCTTGTTAAATATCTAAAACAACGGCTATTATTTACCAATAGATACCCGTCTATATTTGACTTCTAAATTCGCTAAATCCATGGTACACATCAACAAAAATCCCTCATCTTCACAAATCAAATTTCAATTGTAAATTATTGCGCTCTAGTGGAGCTAATTGGACGGAATCTTTTTCGGTTCTGTGTCTTTTTTTTTCTTTTTTTTTTTTAGATGATTTTCAATGTTGAGAATTGGCAATATTACTTTTACTTCATTATATTATATCTTGTTTCATGATAAGCCATTTTTCACTTTCAGAAAGACGCGACAGAATCTTTATCCTATCGCATTTAGAAATAGGAAATTATTTACCATGAATCTTAACTTAACTTAAGGATCAGCTTTTTAAAGGTGTGAAAATACGAGATACGGTGTCCGGTGCAGTGTACGGTGCGGGGTTATCGAAACAGCACACATGCAGACACGATTCGCGTCTACTATTTTCTACTGTATCGATCATTCCGAACTGTACGTCGCACCGAGCACCGTACATCATCTATTCCGACCTTAATGCTGGAGCCCTTATGAAAATGTTAAAAAATATAACGGAAAATATTATAAAACGTATCGCGTTACGGATCTGTCATGTTTCAACTTAATATCTTACGCATCCCTCTCTATAGTTTTCATATTTTCTACGTTTGTAGCTTTAATATGATATTCTAAATACATTTTTCTACATATTTTAGAAAGATTTTATCTGCGAAGTTGGCGAATTAACAAAAACATTAAAATTCAAACCGTGATAAGTATGTGCAATTTCGTTCCTCTCGGTCAGTGAGCGCGTCAAAATAAGATCTGTGACAAACTCATGAAAACATTCTAGTCCTTTTTTCATCAAGATTTCAGACATATTTAACAGAAAGCAACTAGATAACAACGTAACACTTACATACATACAAGGTCGATTAAATGTTTTTGTTGTCATAAACTTAAAAAGAATCAATGTCGACCTAACCGAAATCCATAGATCAAAAAGTTTGAAAATTCCTATTCCAAGTTTGAGTTTAAGAAAACAACTAGGAAAAAGAAAAGATATATTGAGAAAATTTGAATTTTTCCATCGAAAACGTCTTATACATTCAGACACCTATTCATATTCAATTAGCACAAAGGAAAATAAAAAAGGGTCAAAGTTACAACCTTGTCTAACACCGTCATCAATTAAAGATCAATACTATTTTAGAGCTCACTAATTAATAATAAAATGAAATAGTAGCTAATTTTCTTACTCACTTTGATAGAACTAAAATTAAAACTTCTCTTCGTCAAAAGTTTGGGAACTAATATGAGAGGATTTGATATCTGCCAAAGAAAACGCCCTTGCATATTTGTTTTATTTTTTTTCCAAACTTTTATTCATTTCATTATATTTTATTGGGGAGCGGTGTTAAACAACATAGTTCGTCTGCTATGTGACGTCACACTCTCACGACACGAAAAAATAACCAATGTCTAAACTTGAAGGTGAGCCCGTTTGCTACCTGTAAGGTATTGAATCATTGTTATACGCGCTTTTCATATTAACATTATTCGTCCTGTACAAATATGATACCATTCACGCCTTGTACTTATTAATAATGGAGAGATGACAAATATAAAGGAGGGAAAATATAAATAGGTAACTATGGGCCGTGGTGCACGTTCGTGATGCAAACTAAAGTGTCAGCGCACCTTTACAAACATTAATATTGGGCAGAAATAATAAGAAATTTCAATACTATCTTAGGTTACGCTTATACCACCATTAAAGGTTTCTTAAAATAGCCTGCTCTTGATGATTATGCGAACCTTCCGCCTTAGCGACGATTTTAACAGTATATCGATGACAAATTTTCATCAGGGAGTGTGTGTTCTTTTCTTCGAAAATCCTTTCAACTCCTGTTCATCACGATTTTAATTAATACTGTGAGGTCGATTTGATTTTTTTTTATTCGGTATATAGTTTTCAAACAAGACAACTTTTTCTACCAGAAAATCTTTATTTTTTTACCATTTTTCAAACAATAGTCCAATAGTCCAGAAAATAGATTTTTTTTTTACCAGAAATTCATATTTCTTTTATCAGAAAATTCATATTTTTTCGTCTTTATAGAATGCGACGAATGGAATGTAATAAATGGAGTTTTGAGATTCAAAAGTGTCGTACTTACCGGCACGTTACAATATAGTTACATTCTGAATCATTCGCAAACGGAACCTCTGCAATTCACCAAATTATAGCCAAAGAACCATTTCACGCAACTGGCCTGGTCCAATATTTCAATGAGACAGCGTTTTCATCGCCATCGAACACAATCCGATGTGAGAAAAACTTTACATCTGTCTTTATCAACCTTTGTTAAATGTTTTGATTTATCAATTTTGAATCAATAAAGATTGAAATAGCCTAAAGATAAAATATCATTAAATACTAGTTTTTATGTTTTCAGGAAAAACATTCACACGCCCAAAGTTACCTTCTCTTTTTTTTTCTTTTGACTGTTATAGTAATGACACTGTTTAAGCGACCTGTGGGAAAGGAGAGCACTCAAGTGCCTTGTTCACTCTGAGGATTTTCATGTCGTAGTTCCCTCCCTTGACTATTGAAATTGAAGAAATATATTTTCATCAGTTACGTCCCTAGGACTGTTAATATTCATCGGTCAAGTCGCTATTCTGAGCAGCTATGACAGGTCTGATGCCAGGCAGGGTAAGCTTACTGTTCTAAACACTTGATACAACTTTTCATTATGAAATATTTTCTCATTTATGATTGATATATTTCCTCGTGTGAAAAGTTCATTAGGTGCTACCAATGTTTCGTCATTATGTTTAGATTTCGGGAACCTTTTTGCGGTTCGGATCGTTAGTACTTGGATTATTACCCCAAGGTTAGACTTAAATGTGTGATGCATTCATTTCTTGTAAACTTGAAATCCTAGAATGGTAAAAATACTGTAACTAATTTCAACTATACTCCCCCCCCCCCCCCACATATATTTTCTTGTGAATATAAATGGGTGCATGACTAACGAGATATATATTTGAAATGACAATACAAATTTATCTGTTATGTATGATAATCAATGAAGTAGTTGTCTCCTCTGGCGGATTAAACTACGTTTATAAACTTCTTGGTGCAGTAGGTGCATTCATCTATGACTGCGAGGCATGAGTTATATATACATGCAATATTATACAATAATTTGATTACTTTGTATTTGTGTATCTATGTTTTGTCTGTCGTCCTATTTCAATGGTGCAATTGTGTACGTCATTGGTTTTTTTTCATTTATCCAACTACTGGAAGATTGCATTCAGCTTTCCAATTACTTTATAGAAATATAGCCTACCTACATACGCATCAATTAATTTGAACTAATGGGATCTTTACAAAAAAGACCTTTATACCTTTTTCATAGAAGTTGCTTGGTCGTCAAGGGGGTTGATTTCAGATAGAAAGGCGGCACAAAGATTGTTGCTCTAGAAGGTTATACATGAAAACATGTGCGCCTTTCTTAATAGACCAACACTTTTCATTAAACCTGAGAAGTTGAGAATAATATTTTCTTGTGTAGAACTAAAGGGAGACAAGACTATATTTTCATGATTATAACAAATGAATTTGACTGCATAAAATATCGAGGTTGATATTCATTTGGCTATGATATTTTAGTATAATACTGCCATCAACTCTGGATATGGTTAACTCTCTTCTAGACCCATTTGTATTGGCCCAAAAGGTGCAAAACATAACGTTACCCTCAACATCATTCTTTGATAATACGTCATATAAAAACAGGAGTAAATTGAAAGAATTAAGACCTTATTTATAAATATTTGTTTTATTCGAAGACATTGATGAATATGGAATACACCAACAATTAATCAAGCATTTTCAAAATAATTTTAACTTTTTATTAAAAGGTTCATTAACTCACTAGTTTTCGTTGTAAGAAATATGGCAATAAACACAAGAGCAAAATATTGGAAAGAAAGAAAGAAACAACAATTTTTATAATCATAACAACTATAAAGGTTAACGGACAACATGTCTACCAGCCCTTCCTTGTCAAACCTCTTGGCATTGACGTTTCCAGATAATCCTTTCCTATTTACAGCTATGTAGCATGCCAACACAGGAATTTCAATTGCTAGGTGTACGCTTGTATGCATTAGCAATATCAAAAACAGATGGTTTAGATAGAAATTACCATCTATCGATATTTTCAAGTGGTGATATATGCTTCTAGACTACACTCAAACGTGAATTTAAATAAATATTTCATGTGATCTAATTAGTGGTTGGATTTTTTATTCGTCAACTTCCAATATTTAAATTTTATTCTAAAATTATTAAAAATAGATTTTCCACTATATGGTGCATGAAATTGTACAAAGCTATAAAATTGTCCTAAATCACATACAAAGGTTACATGACCCTTTTAACATTATTCAAGTTGACGCATTTGCAAAAATGCCAAAATAAAGAATTCTTGCTAGTCATTTAAATTGTACTAATAAGGAATGTTGTTCACAGTGTCCCTTAAAAAAATTATTAAGCGAATAAAGTTTTCGACAAAATAGTTCCAGGTTATTAATTCAAGTTTCAATTAACTATGTGTACAGCTGTATGTATGTACATCTTCATCGTATAGAACATATATACATTATAACAAAATTAGGAGTCAAATCGCTTAAAGCTCGTGTACCGATTTCGACCATTTAGTAATTTCGTAAGACAAGCCACAATATTTCGTTGAAAAAATTAGATTTTAGTCCATTGATATCAATCGCAGCACATATACGAGTGGGTAAAGTTGTTGGAATATCCAAATGAGCTAGAGGAAAGGAATAAAATTACATTTTCTTCACACTCGTTTATATTTAGGATGTAATTTATATGGTGTTTCTAGTTTAGAGTGGAACTGTTTTATGGGTATATTATTTTCATAATAATGGTATACCAATTCTTCTATACTGTCAACTATACAGGATTGTTCTTGTAGAAAATACCGACCAGTCTGAAATATAGCAAACGAAATGCACTTAAACATAATATGAATTGAAATTATTGTTATTGAATTGAAATCTTAAAACAACCTAAAAGGTGGTTCAGGGGACAGGAGTTTTCAAACTGGCGGTATATAATTTTGAAATTTTGGGGAGTAATGACGCGTTTTGTACTCAAGCATAAAATATAATTTAAGTCGTTCTATTCAGCGAGCTTATATTCTCCGCGACATGAACAAGATTCCAGGGAAAAACACAGAGGAAAATCACGTAAGGATTTATAGCGGAAGAGTGGTAATCCAATCGATCAAGCATCTTGAAACAAGAACAAATTTGAAAAAAAAAACTGAAGTAGGAAAAAACACTGGGCATGGGTTAACTTGAATTATTTTGATTATAAATCATTTATTGGGACATAATACAACCCCTGTTACACGCCCCGAATCATAAGGTAATAACTTACATCATTTGTTTGGATTTTCATTTTTCGTGGTAAATTTTGAGCATAAAAACACAAAGTAAACTGAAAAAGAAAAGATGCCATGAATACACACACACATCATTAAGTAGGTTAAGGGAGGTAATATAAATTGACAAGATTATGTTGTGGAAAGAAATGACACTAATACTTATGTTGTATCCATCTAAGTCAAGGAGCGAACAAACCATTATAACATTGAACACAAGAAACGGATCGGATGCAGGGTAGAATTTGGTGTTTAAAAATATAAGATCATTATCGATGTCTATCAAAACTCCATCCTCCAAAAAAAAAAAACGAAAAGGATTAAAAAGTTTCCTTACCGTGCCATCAATACATCTTTTAACTAAAAATACGCCATCTTCTGCTATATTTCTTATTATGCTTAAAGAAAAGAAATTAGATTATCGATATATGCCGTGGATAATCTGATGTAAAAGAAGAAAAACACTGATCCTACTATTTTCTTACTTTAGTACCAGAGTCGATATGTGAAATGGATCAACACCATTTTAAACAGTGAATCTGCTAAACTATTCAATGCAATTAACGACTGGTAAGCCATCACCTTTTATTACGCGACCAGCGCCCATGTATTTACATTCGTGAAATTTAAACGACTCGATTCAGCGACCAAGACAGTTCTCGTTATCTCCCTTTTATGATCATATAATATATAGTCTTAATTAGGCGAACAATTGTGACAAATTTGGACAACAATCTTCTTAATAGTTCTTAAAATTTCCCGCGTCCATTGTAGATTGCATGGAAAAAGACGAACTGTCTCTTTTGAATCAAAGATTAGACGACTCACTCTGTCTCATTGGATTGTGTATCTTTTGATGGGTCATAGTAAATTGAAGACCAATATTCTTCTTGGGTCATAGACTCTTCTTCTGTAGGCTGGAAGGATTGAAAAAAAAATCACCGTTTAGAAATCAATCTGTGAACATCAAATTTGGCGCACCACTGACCATCGTCTCTCGTCCTAAACTATTAGAAAGTGGCAAGGTTTACACGGTGATGACCATCGACAAACCAAAGATCTAGGATCTTAAAACATTATAAGGCTGTTGACGTTAAATACGGTGTTGCGTCATGTTCTGTAATCCCTCATCTTAGTTCTAAAGAATTAAATCATAGCTGCGGAATCAAATCAACCTTATCGGTAATCAAACTATTTTGATCTGTAGCTAGTCGGTATTTTAAGACACCGAATTTTCTTACCGTATCAACTACTGCACTTGCGCCATCACCTCGAGTGCGTCTGAAATGTCAAAAGTGTTGCGTAAATTAAATTAGCAATAATGTGCCAGAGTGCTTTACTGATTTTTACATACAAATTTTGAGATAATCGTATATGTATATTACGATTTTGTTTGTGTCATTACTTATTACATATATTAGATTCAAACAAATTAAGAATGCTGCATATACCTTTCTCGGATGGTGTCTGCATCCTGAAAGAAACAGGAGAATGATAATATAAACCAAAATTTACATTAAAAAGAAAAGTAGATGCGATTAGACAGTGTGGAACTGTACAGTAGAAAAAGCAATTTCATGAGGAAAGTTCTGTAAGACTCAGACACGAATCGTGTTTCCTACATCTCAAAATAGCGAGTTTATGTAGCAGATGAAATAAGAAGGCTAGTGATCCCGAAACAGGGAATGGGGTTAATGTGAACGCCACTGGGAAACATATTCAGTTATTTTTAGAATTACAGGAGAAATCGCTTACATCATGGTGTCTTTCCTTTCAAATATAGGTCCTAAACTTTTTTACTGTCACTTTTTGTAACAAAATTAGTATCGAAAGGCAATATGTGGATTTACCTGCCTAACATCCGGTTTAGTTTTAATCTCGGTTTTTGTATACGCTGCACCAGACTTCTTCCGTCTTGTTTTTTGTCCTTTTGTTGATCCATCATCGGACGGGCGAGGTGGGATTGGTGGTGCTATTGGGGGTCTGCCATCCATGTCGTCATCAGAATCTAACAGGAAAAAAAATACTTCAACATAGAGATAAAGGAATTTCACTGGACAGCTCATATGGAGCAGCTATAGAAGATTCTTTCTATTGCAAATTGTATCGGCAGGATTGTGAAGACCATCATGCCATTCTGAACGATGGCTTCGGGACTTGAAAAATAAATTGCCAAATACAAGTGTGGGTTGAGCGAAACTGTCCAAAATACTCACCAAGTTCCGAGTTACGTTTACTTTTATAACTATTTGGTAAAATGAGTGTAGCGGGATCATCATAAAGTTTTTCTTCGATATCTTGATACGTCAACGATTCCTCATCGAAATCTATTCCGTCGCCAGTTCCTCTATAATGACATTTAATGAATTGATATATTGTATGAAACTAGAACAAAATCGGGTACCTTGTGTCAAGTAACATTGCTTTTATCACTACTTTTCTGATAAAGCAATCTTGTTCTTGCTCTTACACTTGAAATCGAAATGGACACAGGTTCTCACTAAAACTAAACGTTTTATGGTGTAGATATTCCAAAAGGCCCTTAGATAACAGAAACCACAGACATCTTCTCTTTACAAATAATAATCTTTCAAATTAATGTTATACATACCTTTTCTTTCTCTTTTCTGGTTTGTTATTAGCACGATCCATTTCACATTTGATTTTTCTCATCCAATCCTGTAAAAGTTATGTATTTGGTGTTAAATAAAACTCATTCTGATTGCTTACAATAAATCTTATCATTTTCAAAAAGATCAGTACGGCAATTCCCCCCATGTGGGAACAGAGACTATCTCTTTCGATAATGCCAATGCCTCACCAGGGTTAGATTTAGATTTGAAAAATTTGATCAGCAGTTTTTCATTTCTCGTTTGGCTAGGCATTTTTGAGAGTAAAAGCAGCATACAAATCTCCACATGTGGAAATTAAAACGTTTATGGAAGAGACCATTGGATAGGTGATTTTGGTGATCAAAATATACAGATAATCAACAAACCTTCATTTCTTTTTCTGATGACGCTGAAAAGTAATACGTTTTGTATTCGGCATGCGTATGAATAATTTTAAAAACCCACAAAGCATCCTGCATTTCACTATCCCTCAAAATACTGAAAAAGAAGAACGAATTTAAATATAGAATAGTCATGCTGTAATGATAAAGAGGCTACCAAGAAGAATGATATATTTTTAATGGTCTATTCACGAAAGTCTAAATATTTTCTTATTCTTTGATGGTACATTTACAGCATAGAGAACTTGTTAAGACTCTATGTCAAGACGAGATCTCTATCCATCTATAGCCCATTCTTTGACTAGATATATTTTTACAATTATATTTCTTTAACAATAAGGCTGGAAATCTCTAAAGATGAACGCCTTCAATATCAACATTAAAGAAGCCTATTTACACTAATTAAATATGAGCAATATATCAAATAGAAAACCGGGTCAGTACCTGTTATATCCAAACAAGGGAAATGAATGTGCTTTTTTAGAAGTTTCACTACCAAAATAATATATACACCCGCGGCTGAGGACGACGTATACTTGAGGCCCTGAAATTGAAATGATTTTGATTTTTTTGATGCTGTCTGTACTTGCAATTTAATAATTCATTGCGATATATTTATATGTTGATATTGAAATTCTGGTAAGTTTATACAGCTGTTTTCATAAGAAAGAAAGTGTTCATCAGTACTTGAGCTTAACAACTTTTAAAAATTGAGGAAATAGACTTGTGGATTTTCCTTTTATATTCGCTAAGCTCAAGAATCAAGGTCGAAATCAGGAGTAGATGATTCACAAAAAATGGTTGTTAAACGAAGTTGATTGTAATATTTTTACTTACATTGAAATAACTTTAATCTATTTCTGAAACTGCGTTTTCTGAGCCAACCACTAACTTGGTGTTTATCGGGTTGGGATAACAATGATTGACAATCTAAAAGACCAGATGATAAACGTTAATTTGTGTATAATATTAGTACGTTATTAATCCATCTAAATAGCTCAATTGTTCAGTACTTTTTAATATGTTAGAGGTTATCTATGCAATTTACTACACACACTTCAATTGTTCAGTACTTTTTAGTAGGTAAGAGGTTAACTGAATGTTATTCACTAAACACATTGAATTGTTCAGTACTGTTTGGCTATAATACAATATTTATTATCATTTTGAATAAGATATATTTGCATGATTATATAATATGAACCTGGTCGTTTGAGTACACGAACTTCAATTAATATACCATAGAACTTACTTACCTATACCTGTTAGAGGATATATGGGATATGTGCCATATTCAGCCATTCTGAAATTTAGAAACACACAGTAAGAACTAACCAAGATTTCAAAAATATAACTAATTTTGTCACAGGTAACTTGCATTAATGACACTGATTTACTTTATATCTGAACGTAATATTTAAAGGTCAAAGTTCACCATTTTCGAGAGTTTCCAAATTAAATGAATGTTGTTTTAAAGTTATTGTCAGCTGATGTGGTATTTATTACAAGTATGTCAATAGTGTATGTCAAAATAAACCTTTGAACAGAGATAAACTTAATCATATTCTAATTATAGTACGAGTAAATAAAAGGGAAATTCCCTATACTATTGAAACGCTGTATTGTTTAAGACTAGAAAGTTTAAATGTAACAATTACTATGCGACATTCGCAAACAAAATTACATCCGCTGTATTGAATAGTATAAACATTACAACTATTCTCAAATACGAATACGACAATGTATAAAGAGCCCAATGAGCAATATAGAAAATATGTAGGCCTATCTATGATTTTTTCTTATTAAGGAGATACAGATCTCATTTCAGCCGTTCGATGTTACAACCCACGGCCATAAATTTACCAACAAAACAAAGCCGAGGAACTGGAGGCTGCCAGAGGCCAAACATTTCAAAAGAGATTTTGAGCATTTAGTGGGAATAGTTCTGAATTCAAAATAAGACCTTTCAGAGGCCTGGAATATAATAATTAGAGTATGATAATACTAGACATGATTTTGAATGGAGAAATATTATACTAGACAGGGTATGAGAAGAGGTAGAGATATTATTAGAGAATTATTATACCAGACAAGGTATGAGAGGAGGTAGAGATATTATTAGAGAATTATTATACTAGACAGGGTATGAGAGGAGGTAGAGGTATTATTAGAGAATTATTATACAAGACAGGGTATGAGAGGAGGTAGAGGTATTATGGGAGAATTATTATACAAGACAGGGTATGAGAGGAGGTAGAGGTATTATTAGAGAATTCTTATACAAGACAGGGTATGAGAGGAGGTAGAGGTATTATGGGAGAATTATTATACCAGACAGGGTATGAGAGGAGGTACAGGTATTATTAGAGAATCATTATACAAGAGAGGGTATGACAGGAGGTAGAGCTGTAATTAGATAATAATTAGACTTATCTATTGCTCTGAGACCTAGGCCAGTGCTTTCATTGAGACTCGTTTCAATTCACCTTAACATTTGACAGGGTATGAGAGGAGGTAGATGTATTATTAGAGAATTATTATACAAGACAGGATACGATAGGAGGTAGAAGTGTAATTATAGAATTATTATACTAGACAGGGTATGAGAAGAGGTAGAGGTATTATTAGAGAATTATTATACTAGACAGGGTATGAGAGGAGGTAGATGTATTATTAGAGAATTATTATACAAGACAGGATACGATAGGAGGTAGAGGTATTATTAGAGAATTATTATACAAGACAGGGTATGAGAGGAGGTAGAGGTATTATTAGAGAATTATTATACTAGACAGGGTATGAGAGGAGGTAAAGGTATTATTAGAGAATTATTATACTAGACAGGCAAACATCGAGGTCAGGCACACAAGACTAACGATTTCATATAGCACGAGCTGAATTTTGAGCATTTAGAGGAGCTTAATTTTCACTTCAAAATAAGACAATTCACAGGACAATTTCCGGATGGGGGAGGGGGGACGTATTTAATAAGGAATCGCAATAATCAGAGAGGTGATAAATTTACAGTGTAACAAGGTGGTTGAACTGAAGAATACTACATTTAATTGGACCTTAAGTGATGTGCTTGCGTTCTAGAACGAACGTAGACACTGTCTTTCGCCCTAAGGCCATACAATATATAATATTCACCTTTATAAATATTCTTTGGGTACAGTTAAAACCTAAACTGGTACATTAATCCTTAACTACCACACACAACAAAAATGAAAAACTTATACTATATCAATATCACCAATGCCCTAGATATTATAATTGTCTTGGTTAGGTATATAATGTCGTAATATAGTTTTCTTCGGTCTATGTATTTAACTTACCTTACTCTGCTCTTAGATCTCGTTAATTCGTTGATTCAAGGCGCATATATCTTCTTAAAACTATCATAAACAGTAATTTTTTACGGTTACTTCACACAATTATTTTAAACTAGGACACACAATAATATGTTACAATATCATATTCAACTAATTTTCTTCCGCATGTGTATTCTATAGTCAATGAAATCTTCGACCCAAGAAAGTTAAACCAACTAATTAGTAATTTCTAATTATCTATTTATATAGTTCTGATCCTCCTTTTCCTAACAATAACTCATTATTGCATAGTCATACACGATTTCCCGGTAAAACAAAATCACTTGGAACAGCCCTCAACATATTGTCACTGTCTTGTATGATCTAGTCTATACATTCGTATTACCGGTAGACTTGTTTACTAGGGCGTACTGAGATCTTGACCAATCAAATGCAACCCGGAAGATATGAGTATTTCCCACTCAAATATATCAAATGTCCCATTTTACCTACCTACTTAAAAATGAATGTATACTTTGAACCTATTCTTTTGTAAAAATGGTTCGTTCATACTACAAGCTGAGCAGGGTGACGAGAAGAAGAGCGGTTAGTAGCGGCATTAGTGTCTAGTTAGTTTTCAATGTACAGAGGCTCTGCAGTTTAGACAGCAAGCAGAGCGACGCAGAGGGGAAAGGAGCGATATGCTCGAGAAACTCGGCTGTATGTTTTTCCGCTCGCAGCTAGCAGTTGTCTACTGATCCATTAGCATGACTGTCAAGTAGTAAGAACGAGCCCTAAGATGGTCCTTTGTGTTTCAATTTAGTGCTGCCTTAAGAACAATGACAATTCGCCATATCCAATGACAAATTTCATCAGCGAATGAATCGACAAATCTGATTCCTGAAAATGTACAGTTCTACGGGACCCTGAATACTGATTTTGCCGGAAATGTAAATGACTTAATAATATATATGATTCACAGTTTTCCGAGAGGCTATAGATAGTACACTAATTGTTTTGACCGTATTTAACACACACATAAATTCTAAGAATAACTAACTATATTTCTATTGAAAACACAGTGTTATACTGATTACAAAAGTGTTTTTGCTGTTTTGCATAACCTAGTAAATAAATAATATTATGATAAATAACAAGCTATATGAATACTTTCAGACACTTAACCAGCCCCAATTCACTTTGTTAACAGAGTTTGACTTAGAAAAAGTGTGAACCTCAACGTGAGGGTGATCTCCAGCAAGATGCTGCTTAACATGAGATGAGTGTGATCTACAGCATGAGGGTGATCCCCAACGAAAGGGTGATGAACAGCAAGAGGGTGATCCCCAATAAAAAGGTTCTCCTCAAGAAGAGAGTGAACCCCAGCAAGATGGTGATCCTAAGCAATTGAGTGACCGTCGATAAATTGGAAACTGAAAAAAAAGCTTTCACTCCAAATATGAATCAATAATATGGAACGAATTTAATCATTTTTGTTCCAAATTAATACACCTAGGATTTATCAAGCTATGGCAATTTTGAATATTAAATTGTCTATACAAATATTGATGTTGACTTCCAGAATAAAGTGATCGACCTGTTAATGACTTTGTGTCATTAGAATAAGACCTCTAATAAGTACAGTAATCTAAAAATCGATCTGTATACCCATAATTTAACATATACTAATATGAGAGAAATGAGATAAAATCTGTATAATTTGCTATTAATTAAGTCTCATTTACTAATGAACGGATACAGATCAATTCTATTTAATTCAAACTTCATTCATGCATGAATCGTCCAAACAATGCCTGTATCTCGCTCGCCCGATAATCGTTTAGACAGTAACATTGCCAGACAAATTGAGCCGGTTTCAAGGACTTTCGACATTCAAATTAGAATATCAAACCCACTTTCTGTACAGCAGGAATAACTGAACATATAATCCAACCACACATAACATTCAGCAACCGCTATATGAATAAGTTAACTGTTTATAAACGTGGGATATGATTTTAATTTCCAATTGCAAAGACAAACAAGTATTGAATATTAATATATTATTATCTCCCCTTATCAACATAAAGCGACAACAGCTAGTCCAATCGGGTATACAATATTAGGACATGAAAATTAATTTATTTATTTTTATTTCAATTCATCCCAAAATTAGGTTTTGAGAAGATGAGAAAATGCACTCTGCGCCTCGTTCTCTTAAATTAGTAAGTTAGCCCATATATACAATGAGAGAATGAGCACACAACTTCAACTCTCTTGCGAGGCATATTGTAGGCATGTGTATGAAAGCATTTACATCGACACGTCTCTTAAAAGAATTAACAGTTCTGTTATGTCGATCTTAACGAGAATTATGTTTGGCACTCGCAAAGATTACTGTACAATCACAGCCAAAACACATTGCATCCTTTCCAGTCTGATATTTCAAAAACATGTCCTGAATCTTATTCAAATGTTGTCTATTGTGTCAGTCTCAGATTTAACAAAAGAAAAGGTTAATACTATGTAGTGTTGGAGGATTATTTTGAAGATCAACGGTTGTTGCCTCCCACAAAATCTCATTGTTATTCCCGACGTTTCCTTCTTTTCTTTGTCTTGAATTGTTTTAATCCGTTTAATATATCTTGATTTCGCTTTTGTATTTTTTTTAATTCTATGCCGACGTTAAAGCTATTATTATTTTCAGTCTGTGAACTGGGTTACATGATGGTGGTTACACTGGTACTCTTGGTAAGATCTTTTCATCAATTTTCAGATCGGGTAAACCCATCTTTTTCAAACCCTGAATTTAACCCACTTCAATTGGCTGTATACACTGGTAAATAAACATTTTAATTGAGGTGCTCTCTTTTTCAGATTCTGTTCCAAACAGGTTAGTACGTTTTTGTTTCACTGGGCCTAGTAATTCATATGATATCCTTTTAAATGCTGTATTTGCTTATTACGTTATGTTTATTAGACCTGTTAATATTTTATAATATAGTTGAATGATTAGAATTGGCTAAATATAAATATTCGCACCCCGCAGTCAACAAGCAAACATTTTCAGAATCGCTTTTAGACATTTATTTCAAGGAACTAAAGAAATATTTCTACGTCTTTTGAATCCGAGGTTAAGCAGATGGGAAATCGTTAAATTATATTATATAAGTCGACTTGCACAGCAATATACACATCGAAACTGGCAAAAGGTTCCTTAAGGACTGGAAATGTAGAATTAATATATTTGACTATTTCATTCCGTTTATCGCCATACCTATTTTCTGACTAATGTAAAAAGGATTTGGATTATTTCCATTACATGTATTTTTATGAGAAATGGAATAACAGTCTTAAAATCAAAACAATAATAATGTTAGTCTTGGAATGTCTTTGCGTTGATAAAAATATAAACATGAGCACACATTATGTCTTCAAATTTTGTTTTTAAAGAGGACAATTTTCAGCCATTGAAAGTTTCTTTTCAGTGTTACGTGTATGGTTTATAGTTATTTCAGGACACCAGTTTGAAATAGATCATTGGGGAAATCATTTTGTATTAACCTTCTTACAAACCGGAGATGGAGAAGTCAAAAATAGTCTTATTATAACCACGAGAGAAGACAGCAATATATCAGTAACCTTCCACGAAAGCAACCAAGCCAAGGAACTCCATCTGCGTTCAGATGCTTCGCATACCTTACATTTCAATGCCAATTCCACGGCTAAACCTTCAATGCTAGTTTTGCCATTAAAAGCTGTGTCCATCGAGGCTTCAAAAGCAATATCTGTGTATGGTTTTACCGAATCTATTGACCCGATGTTATATTCCAAGGATGGATTTTTAATTCTGCCGGTACCAAGCTTAGGTGTTGAATATTTAGCTGTTACTTGTGAAAAGGATGGGCGTAAGTTTGTGCAAATTTCGGTTTTTGTTGGACTCCTTACAATAACCATGATTTTCTTAAAGCATCCGCAACATTACAATAAAGGACATTTTGCAAGATCATCTGCACATTTTAGTTACGTATGTTTATTGAACGAAGTCTGTGTCAACAATAAGATAGATACGATGAATGCGAATCTGCTAAATAAGAAATATCCCTAGAAAATAAGGAACAATGTGGCCAGTGGGATGCCGAGTTCACAAACGCAGTTGTAAGGCATGCTCTGCGTCGCAAGCGACACCCCAAAGTATGAATTTCACAGGAGCATAATCCATATTGTGCCACCAGGCATGTGCAGGTTTATATCTTGTATTTTGTCCCTTTAACTCTCATGCATAACCTTTTTGTTACAGCCCAGATAGCAATCGCTGCTGTAGAAAATAACACCCAGGTCGAAATTCAAATAAGGTGTTATATTGAAGTTCAGTGCTACCATGGTCTGGAAGTCTCAACATATCAGGATAACCATGTCCTTACGTTCCTGTTAAATCAACACGATGTAGTCAATTTGTACTGTATTGGTGACACAACCGGAAGTATTGTGCACTCTACCAAACCGGTTACTGTCATCTCAGGATGTGATTGTGTTGGTGGTTTTCATATGATTGGATGTGACCACTTAGTAGAAATGATGCCACCGACGACAGAACAAGGAAAACAGTTCGTTGTAGCTAACCCTGCTGATTCGTTAACAATTTTACGCATATTGTCAACTAACAATGTGACCGTCTCTGACGATAATGGGCTCTCTTATTCATTCCAAACCCACAGTCGTGTTACAAATGTTGTATTATCTGAACCGGCGCTTTGTTTAACCAGTGATAAACCAATAATTGTTGTCATGTTCGTGGCAACCAGTTATGCAAGTGGTAGTGATGTGAACGCTCTAATGACAGTGGTGCCTCCACAAACCAAGTATGCCTTGAACTACTCAATTGGCATTGAACCAAATTCAATCAATGCTGTTTACATAGACATGGCTGTGTTTATTTGTAAAGTGGGAAATTGTCCCTCCAATTCAATCGACTTTCATCCAATATGCCAGGGAAGATATGGTGTTAAAAGAGAACTTATTTCTGGATTTAACAAATGGGAAAACTTTAATCCGTTTATGGTATTAATCTTTGCTTGTCGTTCTGATACATGTATGGGTTACCCAGCTGGAATGGCATTAACAGATTACTCCGGTGCGTATTCCATTACCTTTGTCATTGTCATACCCTATCCTTTGTTTCCGGTATTCCTCTTATATATACCAATATAAATACCCTTTCACCCGTTAATTGTGGACGTAGTACATTTTCAGGATGTTGCTTTGCAGTCCATTACGTGGGCTGAAATTTCAAAACGGAATGAGCTCGAACATTAATATACACAACGAAATATCAGACGCTCGATTAACATATAATCGAACTGACCAAATTTGTCCTGTGCCTAATTTTTACAAATAATTACAAATTTTTATGTTTTGATATACATCTTTTATTCCATAAAATTTGTTTAATAATTTTCTAGGTGTTTCTGAATGCTCCAGCATCCCCTGCATGCATAATGGATGGTGTTTAGAATATGGTATAACATATAGATGTAGATGCTGGGGTGGTTATGGTGGCGATTATTGTGAAAAAGGTATTCACTTCAATTCATGAGTAAATTGATTAAATTTCTATAAAAAAATTAAATGAAGATAGTATTTTATGGAACTCATTACATATCTACCTCATTCATTTGTGTTGGCTTGTGAAGCTTGAATCATTGATTTTGATATTTATATGTTGATTTTCTGGATGGTGCATGATTACCAGTCTTACCCATAGTAATTTAAGATTACATATTTTTTGAATGAAACGCTTTGCGAGTTTCCCTTTTTATGAACACTAACAGTTGCTCCTCTTAACTCTCAGTCGCAAACGATTTGTGTCAAACTTGGTGAAAGTAGGTATAACAGATCTTGAAGTTAAAATTTCGAAGAAAGTTTTTCTATATATTGCTATAGATTTGGCAAACCTCTTGTTTTCACATTGTGGACTTCAACACCGAGTTCGATTAATTTTCCTAAAAATACTTTCACTTTCTGTTTCTGTCGGCGTAGTTTATTCTTTCAGCTATAAAAATCATCAAATTCTATTGTTTTCAGAACCATTTGAAGTACCAGTAGAAATCGGCACTGCCTCAATTTCGAAAAAAGAAAGTCACTTGCAAACAACGGAGAAAACTTTCGTGTTGTGGATTACAAAGAAAGTTAATAATGACATTGGACTGAACCCAAAACAATTCAATCTAACAACTGACCAAAGCTCAACGACGGGCACCACTATATCAACAACTAAAACAACTAAACCATTATCAGATAAAATTAAACCGAGTTTACCAAATACAATCGCATCGACGTCCGATTCAAGCTTACAAACATCAGCTTCGACATCGGATCCAACTACACCCAAAACAAAAACACCAGATATTCAAAAATCAGACGCAACCAAACCTAAACCAGAAACAACTTTAGCAATACCAAAAGATTCAGATACAAAAACAACTTTGAGAACTACGATATCGGCAGTTAACATCACACCGTTTACTACAAATAACGTTATACGTCCAAGTTTTACCAATACAAACACTACAACACCATTAAATAAAGTCTTGCGTCTATGTGGTTGTCCCTGTTCAAGATCAGCTAAAAAGTCTAAAACACCAAAGATTAAAACTGCAGAAGAGATCCTAAAGGTTCCAAAAAAGAAGCTAGGCAAGACACAGAGGAGAATGATCAGTGCTGTTAACTTGTATAATTCAGAAATCAATCTGGGTTATAGCGCTTGTAGTATGTTACTGTTTTTAATACTGGTGGTTGTAATTACCGATGTTTGTAAACTAATTTATTGGTTCATCGGCTGGTCGAAACTAAGAAAGCCTCGAGATATGATTAGAGTCTTTTAATATAATATGACTAAAGTGTCGACAGCAGGAGACAAGTTCTAGTCAAAAATTATTTTCTTTGGAAATTGTTTATCTAGGTAGTATGTCAAAAGATTTCAATAAATTATTTTTCATTCAGGCTTATTTATTTACAGAAATTCTTAAAATGTCTTCTTTTTGGAAATGTTCGCCAGAGTTTTTATATATGGTTCTTTAATTCAGTTTATACCGACAAAACCCCCATCGGTCACCATAAGTTCGATGGAGATAAATTTATTAACGATTCTGTGGATTAACCAATCTGAATTCGTGCCCCTTTATTCCACTCAGTCTGTTCACTTAATGTTGATGTTTGAATTTAAATTTATTAGCTTATTATATACGTTTCTTATCCCAAAAAGATAAAACATTATTACTACTTATGCTTAGGCAGTGCAGAAATTTGAATTCAATTCTGCGCCACAGTATCTCAATGGTTTCGGCTAAAAGTTTATGATCATGTTAATAGATTGTGCATGTATAAACCTCATCTGAGTATATAAGATTAAACAACCAAGAGTTAATTATGGATGTCATCTATTTTATTATTAATTAGTATTACCAGGTTGCTATGGAAAATTGGTCAATGTTTGACCATAACATCACGCATACATCAACCTATAACGACAGACAGAAAAGTCAAACTGAAGAATAATGATATACTTGGTTCAAAATTCAAAATCTATCAGTAAATTGTGGATCTGATATATATAACAAATTTATTTGGAAATGAACTTGGGCACATTTTTGTTTCTTCTTCTGCAAGCAGGTAAATAGAAAAACGTTTTTTGTAGATCACTTTAGAATCCAAAAGAGAGAGCAGGACTTTGGACCTGCAGAGACCGAGAGTAAATGTATCCCGCCGACTGATTGCAAATGGGTTATGAATCTGATCTATCGCTAGTTTTATTCGATCTTTTTGAACACTAAAAAATTCCTATCGTCGCTACTTGTCATCAGTTGCTCGTGCCTTCTTACAAAAATTAAGTCAGTGCAACCCAGTCGATCTGCTAGTAGTTAGTAGATTTCTAAATGTGAGCGCTTCGTCCATGTTGACTGTGACGTTCCCAATTAACATGAGCCAATCTTAATTTATCTGGTTCTCACCGATAACAAACATGAAAAGGCGTAACTTTCCCTCCATTGGTAGTGAAAAAATTATCTGCTCTAGAATTATTATTTACATTATGCCGTTTGTATATATCATACTCATAATTTTATTACAAGTTCCGTTTAAATTTATTTCCTTTTTCTTTATTTCATCAGGATATCAAGTCAATGGTCAAATAAATTCTAACAATGCCTATTGTCCTAGTTTCGCTCCAAATAAAATTCAGTGTAATAATGATCACCAAGTTCCAGGGCTACCAGCTTTATCTATGACTGTTCTTTCTAACTTTCACACTCTGAATAAATCTCTCCTGTGTGGGTAAGTAATTCAGTAATTTCAAAGCAGATTTCGTTCTTGCTCTTTTTAAATTTCTTTCTTCCGTACCTTGTCCGTAGAACTGGATTCCATATCAAATACACAATCTCACAGACAATAGTTTTCTTACAACTTTAGTGTCGTAATTATCTATTAACAAATTTTTAAAGAAATGCTTGTGAGGTTTTCTAGCCTTTGACTGTGACTATGCGTCTTTGGGACACTATATTGCCTTTGATGTGCAAAAAATTAATCATAATTCATATGTCCTGGAATACAATGAAACGGAGACGTGATACGGGGAATGGGTATGTGGCGACTATAAGTCGTAGGTTGATCCCCGACACACGAACAGAAGCTAACCTCCTCTTACCAAATTTTAATATAGTATATCTGGACCCAGTCATATTTATTATGTAGTATAATCATGTAAAGGTTTGATATTTCAACATTGAAATAATTTTGGATTCTCTTTGTAACATGATAGAATGGAAATTTCAAACATTAATGGAGGTGAATGAACATTTTCTAGGAAACAAGCAATATTCAGTATAAATTTTATTAATTCAGGCAAACACCGAAGGCACAATTTAAAGAAGCAGCACGCTGTTTATTCAAATCGTACAGTCATTGTGGAGATAATGATTTTAAAGGTCTGGTCACCAAAATTTCGAAATTCGAAGAAGCAGTGGATTTGGTTTGTTCTAGGAGTGATTGTAAGTACAAAATATTAAACTAAGTACCATAGATCCGAATCTAAAACAACACGAGGCAATACATTGGTAGCATCACATGACCTATTCATATACTACATGTAACAAATAAATAAATCTTTACCATGTATAATTGTTAATTTTACTGTTTTACTTTCGACTTTTTACCATATTACATGTGTTATTTTTTTTAAATATTTTATAGTAGTTGATCACTATGCTAGCTGTATCGGCGACTCCGTAATTGATTGCATCAGAAATAGAGAAGCGAGAGAGAAATTGACTACATCCGACGTGCCTAGTAGAGATGAACAGTTTAACGAATTTGTTCATTTTTATTGCAGGTAAGTTATCATAGTTTTGGGCTCAGGTCGATTCAAACACTTGAAAGACTCAGAGCAACTAGAACTTTAGAATTGCCAGACGACTGTTGGTAATCTGGCAATTAAATAAAATTTTTGAAGAGGCAAATTAATCGACGTTTAGATGATAATGCTCAATGTTCTGATCCGCCAAAGATTCAAAAAGAGTACGGTATAATATTTGCCTATACCCTGTACAGATCTTCTCAAACTTACACGTTGTATAAGCAGAATAAAGAGATTCGACGCCCGATAAGTACGTACTACAGTTGCTATTTTGTTAACTACGTAAAGTAAGCCTTCAAGAATATTAAATTCTGCATTCGCTTCTAAAAGTTTCGACGTTGTTTTATAGGAAACGTGAGATCGAGGAAGAGTGTATTTTTGATGACGAAGATGTGGATGCATGTTCAAGTTCAAGTACTGTCCCAACATTTAGAGAGTTACGACTGTTGATGAAGCCACCAGCCTGTTCTTCTTCCGGATTGATGTCATCTATAACAGTAGTTATCTTCTATGCCCTTGTTGGTCTATGTGTGCATTGATAACCTTTTATTCAAGGTAACTAACTTGAAGCTTAAATCGTTCTTGTTAACTCTTTTCAACACATAACTTGTATAGTAATGCACAAATACTACAAACGTGTAATTTGTTTAATGTTCATACTTTATACCTAACTATTACAAAATCAGAATAGTTTTGCGGTTTGAAATTAATCAATTGAAAAAGTGGTAATGCACATTGAAATATAAATTTGTAGCAGCCTATTGTTTATCATTGTTCGATAAATAAATGTTTTAATTTTGTTCAAAGAGGATATTTTCCTATGGTTTTAAAGCCAAGAAGAAATTGGTTTGTTTTGTAGCACGCTATTTAACTCTTGTTCTTTCCCTTTAATAATAATAAAAAAAATCTAGCTGATTTATATCATCAAAACATGTTGAGTTGTGACGCTCAGTAACTGATGTAGACTGTTTAAAGCATTAACCATGGCAGCATATGGTTACTTTTACACAGGTTATTCGAACATAAAGCACCTTTTCTTTGAGGATATTCCAAGGATATTGTCTGGCCCGTTTATGTGTTTCTGAAGCCCCTGTTCTCGCCTATTAGTCCGAAGCAGACTACACGAGAAAAGCTATTCACAATACTTTTGTTCAGAGATTTATAAGCTAATACAATTAATTGATCAAATTCAAACTTAACTGTTTCAATTGTCTGGAAGTGATAAGTGTCAGAATTGAAGCGAAAATAATCAAGAATTAAGCTCTCTTATCAATATTTCAATGCTTTGTAATGGATCGTCTGTAATATATCTTGTCTAAGTACCATTAACTGTTATAGTATTGATCTAATGTTTCAGTTAACTTAATCATTTAATGATTATTGTATCAAATGACAACGTACCGTAAGAAATATGTACCAAACGATTTAAACTCTGTATCAAACAACAGTATTTTGATGACCAACCTCTGATATACAGTTAACGATTTATATGATAAAATCAATCCTGTCTAGCTTTAAGTTAAATAAAACACAAACAATATTGTAAGTACTTTATCTTATATCTTCACAATATGAACTTCGTCTTATACCTCGACTGCATTAGCCACTTTTCTTTTGTCACAGAAGTTTGTAAATTAGATTGGATTGTTCTCAAGCAAACACTGACATAACGACATTTTGGCTAAGTGTACAGATTTTCTGTTGAGGCCTCTAATTTGGCTCTATTCCTGTAAAATCTAATGAAATGGCTGCATTTACAAACTTCTGTGCCACTATCAGAAGGACTGTTGTAGTCAAGGTATAAGACGGGGTTCGCAACGGCTTGTTATTGTGAATATGGTAATCTGACAACCATATGGTGTAAAATTAATTGTCGGATCATTATTGTCGACATGGTTGAATGTGGACATTACGTTCAACCTTAAAAAATCTGAATAAAACAAATTTAAGTTTATAATGGTTGTCAATACCCAATTCAAAGCTACAATATCTTTGTTCGTCGAGACAATTCAATAATTTATGTTTAATACCATAAAAGAATTCTTTTAATGTTTCCTTCTTAAAGATTCGTCCAGAATAAACCTCGAACAATAAGTTATTGATTAGGTACTTAAGCACATAGCAACTTAAGACAATTTAATAAAAACATTGCATCAGTTCCAGCAACACACTGAATTGATCTTGGTGATAACCCATAAAAAATGCGTGAACACAACAGTGAGTAAATTTCAAGATATTGAAATATTTCTGAATTTGAGATTTTCAATCCACCATTTTTAACTCTACAAAATTTATTAAGGCGATTACGTCTCGCATAGTAGAGCAAAACTTTGGTTTACTTGCTTTACAAATAAATAGGGGTTCACGTCTACTTGTCAAAAAAACGATTTCATATTTTATAGCGTCCTTAACAAATTAAGTGTCCTTATGCTAATGATATCTTAATCATTTGACTTCTTGATCAATTCGTCTGTAAGTATAATTGGCAACACAATATATCGTATATATCATATATCGTTAAATAAATGAATTTTTAAAAAGACTTTTCAAAGCTGTTATGAAAAAGATAAACCTTTAGTGTCCCACAGTGCCGTCTCACCGATCGAATGACCTACATTACCTCACTACGAAATGCTTGTTTACCTTAGCAACCTTTTAGTGACTAACTATAGCTAGATATTTTAATCTGTCAATAAATGACAAGGTATCGTATATAAACCTTGATCGCCATGGGTACAACAATAAACAATAAGATACAATGCCCAGGGGCCTTGGTCGTCCAAATCAAAGCCCACGCATGCAAGAAAGCAAATCAATTTTCAAGATCATAAAAAACAAGATTTTATTTGCGTGTTATCTTACAAAATTCCCATTCCCTCAACGCGACATCTGGTTAGGCGATGATCGTAATGTATGGAAATTCTCCCACAGAACCAAACACTCTTTATCAGTATATACCAAGAGTAAATGAAAGTCCTTTCAGATTCTCAACAGCAGGGTTCTTTTTTAAAACATATCACATAAGACTTTCACATTTGTTATTTGAAACAAAATATAATACTATATTGATGACTGATTTCCTTCTCGTCTAACAATTGCTCTTGATTGCTCGCAATAAAAACCCCCAAGAACATTTGACGGTACGGGGCTGTACATATGCGAGATTTTCGATACTCTGAAATACAAAAGGGGCGAGTACACAAGAAACGGATGTGGACACGCATCCCTTTTTTTGACCATTTGATAATTCCACAAAATACTTCTTGAAACAGTGTGTCCGAACCAAGAATGTTAGACAAAGTATAAAATGAATATTTAATATAATAAATTAAACAATAAGTAACAGATTACGTTGTATATACATCAATACATCAATGGACACCAAGCTTGATATCGATGGTAATAGTAATAGTACGTATATGTTAACCTCAAATGCAACGATAAAAGTTGCAATGTCATGTAACGTAGAATCAAACAAGACAGGTTGTTCTGGACCATTATAATTATAAAACATACAGACACACCAATGTCCAATCTGAACATTTTGAAAGAAAAAATCACACACAGATAAGCACTAATGGAATAAAAATGATTAAACTTAACATTATGTTACAGTACAA